ATAGAAAATCATCTTTATTCTGCGACTAGGTCCCTTAAGAATAACAATATTGTTTAAACCAATTGACAATAAATCTAGCCAGATGATCTATTATAATAAAGAGTAACTAAAATCTAAGTAATAAAATGAGTATATACATACATACAGTTTTGGAGGGTATATTAAAGAAAGCAGATGGGCTTTAGGGTTAATATTACAATATTGGTACAAACAAACAAAAACATACAAATAACTAAATACAATTGGAAAGAAACACTAAATAAATTTTATAGGCAACCAATTTTAGTGATAAAATATAAAAAAAAAAAAACTAGATTAAATAAATGATTTACATATTCCTTAAGACATTTAAGTGAAAACACATGAAGATATTGTTAAAAAATTGGCAAGTATTGTGATCTACCTATGACGCAATAGATTATGAGCAGAAAAAAAAATATATATACACACACATAGAGAGGAGTGTGCAGAAGATAATTAAAAAATAAAATACTTAAAAAAAAAATACACTTCAAAAAATACAATCTTATGAATAGAAAAGGTAGAAGGTAAAAAAATAACAAAAAAATGATACCTACTCACAACGGTTTGTGAAAGGTGATAGAAATTCTGTTTCATACTCAAACAGAAGAAAAAAAAAATGTATAAAGAAAATTAAAACCTTGTTACATAATATATACTTAGTCAGCGTCTGGTTGAATTGTGAAGAGGAATCGGAATAAAAGGGTTTTAAATGTGGATAAGGATGGTGCATGGTGGATTTTTAATGGTATGGAATTCCAGAATGCAGTGGAACGGACAACAAAGGAATGCTTAAATGAGGCAGATCAGTGGAAAGGAGTGTAAAGGTCAGATGGACGTGATCTTGTGGAGAGGATGTGGATTGATGACTTGATTGTAGGAGATTGTTGTATGCGTAGGACAGACGATGATTATTGATTATTAGGTAAAGGGATGTGGCTAGGAAATATTGCCTTCGGAAGGAGGGGAAAAGCCACCCCATAGTGGTGAGAAACACGGGAACGTCTCGGGGTCCCAGTGACAAATCTTACGAAGGCATTCATAATTCTTTTCAGTCTGTCCCCAAGTTCTGCCAAGAGGCCAAGGTACATCACGCAGCCGTAATCAAGGTGAGGGAAGGGAAGATACTAGAAGTCTACGTATGGATATGGGTAGGAGATGACGGAAGCAATGGATTAGTTTCAAGGTACCAATTTACCGTCGGGAGATGTGAGCAATATGGTGATTCCAGGAGAGGGTTTGGTATATAAAAATGCCTAGGTTTTTTACTGAGGATCTGAAGGTGATGGGATGGTCATTTAGGTTTAGGATAGGAATGTTGGTATTAGATGTGAGAAGTGGTTTCGAACCAATGCCAATGGCTTCAGTGTTTAATCTTAATCCATTTAAAGGAAGGAGATGGTCCGGGGTTGCGGTCATAAAAAGGCTAAATAGTGGTAAAACTATTTTATTGAAAGCCAATGTTTCGACCCGACTTTGCAGGTCTTCATCAGGGAGGTGTGTTCCTCTAGGAGTTTCACTTAGAACTAAAAAGTGAAACTCCTTCCAGTTCTAAGTGAAACTCCTAGAGGAACACACCTCCCTGATGAAGACCTGCAAAGTCGGGTCGAAACGTTGGCTTTCAATAAAATAGTTTTACCACTATTTAGCCTTTTTATGACCGCAACCCCGGACCATCTCCTTCCTTTATAATGCAACGGTCAACCATTAAATATTCAATTAATCCATTTAAGTTTGCTCAAGCAGTGATCCGATTCAGGTCTTGAATTTCTTGAAATACATTTACTATATATACTATTTTATTTTTATTTATAGTATTATATTCTTCGTTTTACAATATGTTATGTTAATTATCACTCAGAATGTTCGTCCGTAATGTAAATTCTCAAGCATTTTTTTTTTGTTGGATCCATCATCCTCTCCCGTACCAGAATGAAAAGTCTACGTCTATGATCCTAGACGTTCAGACTTTTCGGCACACTGTTTATTTATGGGTTGCTAATGGCAATAAAGATAAGTTTAAGGGGCGGTCAGGGAAGGTACAACACTCAGAACGATACCCTGGAAATTCTAACGGGGAATACGTGTACACGACAGACTTAAGTTGAAGCAAGGAATGGGGCAAGGGCTGCCAAATTTGAATAGTGACCTTTCCGGACCTGCCGTTCAGTGTGTAATGTGCGAATATATTTGTTAATGTGTAAAGTTTTGCATATAGAACAATGTATGAAGTTGATAGCGAAATTGAGGAGTCTGTTTGATTAGCAGGCTTTTGTAATCTGGATGATAGGGATCTTGATTTTTAAGTTTTTTCATGACAGTAATGGCTCTTTAAGAAATTCCAATATTCTCACCTCCTCTGAATTTTTATTGGGGGGAGGGAGGGAGGAGATGCCCGAAGAATATAATACTATATATAAAAATAAAATGGTATATATAGTAAATTTTATTAAAAATATATTTTTTTAATTAAATAAGAGTATTCTCTAATAAGATTGTGTGAAAATATTTGCATTCACTTCTGTAAATTTAAGCATATTCATTTTAATAAACGTGAAAACTGCCGTATTCACTTTTACTAGTGTAAATACAAAGGCTCTGGAATTTATATTACGTACAAAAATTACGAGCGATAATTAACATAACATAATAAATTTTAACATATATATAATAACATAACATATTGTAAAAGGAAGAATATAATACTATATATAAAAATAAAATGATATATAGTAAATATATTTTTTTTAAATAATAATTTAATAAATACATTTTTTTGAATAAATAAAAGTATTCATTAATTAAGTTGTGTAAAAATATTTCCATTCACTTCTGTAAATTTAAGCGTATTAATTTTAGTAAATATGAATACTGCCGTATTCCCTTTTACAGATGTAAATACAGCTGTATTAACTTTTACAATCGTGAATACGGCCGTATTTATATTTACAGCCATGAATACGTATCTTCTGTATTCATATTACTTTTTATGAATATAAATATATTCATTACTACCATGAATATAAATTGAATTCGTATTTATATTTTTGAATATAAATTTGCCCATCACTGCCATCAGGAAGCCCTGATCTCAACCCGCTATATAAATTATATATAAATTCGGACTATCAGCTTTGGTCCGAACTGGAAAGAATGGCATGCCACAGAGCACACCCTAACTTGAAAAGCCTCAAACAATCTCTTGTCCGAGCAGTTGAGCACTTTCCTCAAGAAGTGCTGCGTGCTCTTAGTTGCTATTGATGACTGGCCACGGAGATTAAATGCCTTTGTCAAGGCAAAAGGGGGACATTTTGAATAATTTCTTTTTTGTTTTACTCTCTATAGATATACATTTTATTTTCTAATAAAGTTTTTGAAAAAAATAATTTTTCTGTTGATATCTCTATATATTTTCTTGTAACAATATTTATGACAGGACTAGGTATATATTTTTTGAACTCTGCTAATATTCTAAGGAGATTCTAGTCCTAGAATAAAATTATTTTTCAATTCATTTTTTTTTATTTCACATGGGTCCACTGTAGCTTGGGCCCAATTTTATCCACCAATTTTATGGACTTATATATGAGCTCACCGTCACATGGAACAGATATCGTCTCAAGCCTTCACCTAACAATAAGTAGAATATTTCAAGTGAAACTTCGCCAATCCTGATAAAATATGGCTTTGTTAAGGCTGATATATCGGTCTTTGGAATATGGGTTTCAGCTGATATTTCAAAATAGGTTGATCCCTTGATGATTAATTGAAATGTCCATTTAGCAATAAAGAGAATATTTGAAGGGTATTCTACAAATTTCAATAAAATAAAGCCGAAATTCCGATATATCGGTCTTTAGAATATCCTTATCATATATTTATACAGGTCAATCCCAATCAATTGACACATTTATTAATAATATTTCAAGTTTCTTAACTAATTTAGAAAAAATAAGGTCATAAGGCATATATATATTGGTCTATGAAATATTGGTATCATCTTAAATTTATACAGGTCGATCCACAAATGATGCTATACAGGCAAAATGCTAGTGAAATTTTACCAATCCCTTAAGAATCGACTAACATGTTTATGAGCAGAAAGAATAACATACCAAGTGAAACTCACCAAATCTCAATCAAATAATAGTGTAAGGCCAATAAATAGGTCTTTAGAACATCAGTATTTGTTCAAAATTATACAGGCTGATCCCCAAATGATTGATTGAACCATCCATTCCGCAATAAAGAGAATATTCCTGGTGAAACTTTACCAATCTAAATATTTCAAGAAACTCATCTAATTTAAAAAAAAAAAAATTGTCATAAGTTTATCATTTTTATATACAATTAAAAATGATAACTAATTGGCAACATTTTAAAAACAACTGAATGTAAAGCAGATGAATATGAAAAAAATAGTCGAAACAAATTAACTTATAATTAAAAGAATGAAATACTTATTAAAAATATAAATGAATGATGTAGAGATAGTTAACAGTGATATAATATAAGAAGGAGTTGGTCGGGGAAAGGGGGACGCGGTCAAATAAATACTATATTTTTATAGTAGTATTTTAAAAAATTAGTATTTATTTGACTGCATCCCCCTAACCAACTCCTTCTCTCATTAGAATGAATGAATGAACCTTTCAATGAGTTGTCAAATTTCAACTCAACCCTTATGATTTCATCTTTGGAATCATAAGGGTCGACACTAATGTTAAGACACTTTTAGCACTGTCAGCCATCAAAGCCTTAGGGCAGGCACAACTGAAGTTGCAAAGCATTAAAACATTTATGCGTTATAAGAATTTCAATTTTTGACAATTAAGTATACTATTAAGCTGTTCCCGATATATAAAATAACTTAATGGTTTTTCTATTGACATCTAATTTGGCAGGAAAGATAGATTGATATATCCTAAAATAAATTTAATTTTTAAAGAACAATAATTTATAATGAATAAATGACTTACCATAAGAACCATCAATTCTTTCTGCAATCTAAAAAAAAAAAATATGTATATTATTTATCTAATCAAAGTTTAATATTAAAACTGATACACATAATTCCATGTAAACCTAGTTCTACTTCTATTTCTAATGTTAGGATAGTAGGGGAGACCATTGTATCTTGGATCACAATTTATTTTTGGGTCATTCCATTACAAATCATCCAAGTTTCGACATCCCCTCCCATTTATTTTAATGAAAATTTATGAGTGTAAATAAGTATACAAGTTCTCCCGTAAGCGAGGGAAATATTTAAAGAAGTGCATAAATGAATAAAGACCTCAACAGCTACAAAAAAGTGTATTAAAAAAAAAATGATCCAATTTTTCGCAGAAAAGTAGGAAATTTAAGTTTGTGTTTTTTTAAGTAATAAACAATTGCTCCTCAATAAGCTAGATAAAATTAACTTCAAATGAAAAGAAAGTTTGTTATTGTTAAAACCATTTGAAGAGGACTTTTGAACATCTAAACTAAGCTGAGTTGTTTTAAAACAAATCATAAATTATTAAGTATGCCAAGACAAGTGGAAGCAGTCATTGAAGGCAGAGAGGGAAATACGTCTTATTAAATGTAAATTAAAATTTAAATTGTAATTTAAAAGTTAAAATAGTAATTAAGGAAAACTTTAGAAAGTAAATTTTTAACTTTTTTGTTTATTGGAAGAAATATTGTAATTTATTTTAATAAAACTTGTTTGTATCCAGTTTAAAAATGTTTATTATAGACTTCAGAACCTTTCTTTATAATGAAAAAACTGACGTATTTGTAAAATTCAAATATTTCAAAGTGTTGAGATACTTTTGACAGAGAGTCTAGTTCATATTTATTTATATTTTTAACAATTTTAAATTTAGTTCAATAATATATATTTATTTAGTGTTAATTAATTTTGATAATTTAACTTACAACCAAGAGTTGTTATACAAGCTATTTTTGTTGTTGATATAGATATGAAGGTTAATAATGGTTCACTTCAATGAGTTAGTTACGCATTGCGTGTTCAATTGTTAGTTAACTATAATGATACAACACATTGATAATAGAAAATAGATGTTTAATTTAATTAATTAGCAATTACTTCAAAGTATACTAAACAAAATTTACTTAAAATGAAAGTCGAGTTTGTCATAGTTAAAACTGTTTAAAGAGGCATTTGAGTGGATAAAATAAGCAATTTTTTTTTTTCATTATTAAATTATGAATTATTCTTTAGACTACTCATATTTCAGAGGTAAATAACTATATTTTCCCATAAATTGTATAACTCATTTTTAAACCATGTGAACGTAGCTCAAAACTGTAAACATAACTTAGGTATATTTTATACAGCGTTGTTTTTTAAAAGTATCAATACCACATCTTGGGGAGAGGGAGGGGGGAGGGGGAGAATAAATGTTATCTTACAATTGGAAAAGTCCAACCTCACACCTTGTGTCTTTAAAATGCAGGTAAAGAATAAAATAAGCCACCAACGATTCACCAATTCAGGCATCATCGGGACAGAAGAGAAAAGAAACCCTAGGTCACACCACTTGATGACATTCACTCGTCATTTCAATCAAAATGATTATTAACGATTTATTGCAATTTTGGCATACAATTTTAAACCTTTCATGGTGATATCAAGAAAAATGTTAGGATTAGGGGAGATTTTACTCGAAAAGATCATAGAATATTCTAAAATTAATATGTGATCCATTTGATGAACCTCAAACTAATATTTTGTGAGGATGGACACAAAGATTCAGCTCCTGACACAATACTGTTTTTAAAGAAATTAGCTGTGAAGCTGCCAGCATTATCTTTCAGTAAACCAACAAATGGAATTAAGTTTAGCCTATAGTTCATGAGAATTATCATGACGCTGACATATTCAACGCAATTTTATATTCTAAGATCGAAAAATGCTCTAATGAACATTTATCTATAGACAGAATTACCGTTAATAAGTTCATTACTTTATAAAGATTAATAAATAAATGTATATATTACAAATAGTAAACAGTATTGGTATGTTTTTCTTTTTAAGAAAGCACTGTTTTAAGTCCATTTTGCTTACATTTTATTCATTACACTTGTTTGATTTTAATATAACGACTAATGTCGTTATTGACATTCAAAGGTGGGTGATTGAAATAAGTAAGTCAACTGTTATACATATCATAGATGATAAATAGTCAGGAAACAGTAATCTTTAAGGTTTTTATTGATTCCAATGTTTTAACCCAAGCATGTGGGTCACTATTAGGGTGTGTTTTAAGCACTGAGGATGTTCAAATACTGAAATACTCAGTATTTGAACATACTGAGTATTTCAGTATTTGAACATCTAGACTTAGAACTGATGTAGAATAGAACTGAACATTTGAACATATGGCAACCGTCGTTGTATATAACAACAAAATTTATCCCTTCAAGGTCATTATAAAAGACATCCACTGTATAATTATTTTCAATTCCAAAAACAATATTTATGTACTAATAAAATTCACTGACACACAATTTTTCCCTGACCTCTCCCTGTTTTGAAAATTACCTGACTTTTCTCATTTTTCCAGGTTGGTCACCACCTTGTAATTACTTACTGATAAAACATTGTTCATTTGGATTTTATTACAAATATATATTCATTGGTGAAATGATCATACTATTAAAGAGTAATAAATTTAAAATCAAAGGCACACCATCAATTATTAAAATAACATTTCTTCATATTCTATCTATTATAAGGCTGATATTTTCTATTCAAAATGTTACAAGTAAATATGACTGTATAGAAGGTGGGCAGGCTGGGAAATATTTTATAGAATTGACAAAACCTCGAACCTCAGTGCTGGCTTTCTGGGCTGTGCAATTGGGGTGCTGATCTTCAGGGACGCTCGCCACTTGTTAGAAATTAAATAAATATATATAAAACGTATTAAAATAAATAATTTCAGCCTATCAATAAAGCAACTGCATTAGTGAGATATTCCAAAAAAAAAATTTAAATATTACATTATATTTGCACCCAATGTCTAAGGCTGGCACTGCTCAACCTCGTTATTCAACCACAATGGTGAGCAGTTTTAGCAATATACACAAGCATAAACGGTTGGCAGTAAGGGATGGCATGCTGTGGATAGTATTAGTAAAATAGTGCATTGAGGAGTTATGTCCGGTAACCAAGCCCAACCATAAACAAACATTAGGAATAAGTGACCTTACCCCAGCCTACTACCCAACGGAGTTCCAGATAATATTTACCAACGGTACTTTTCAACTAAGCGAACATAAATTTATTACAAGGGAAAAAAACCTTTTAAAAAAAATTATAGGGAACCTTATACAACATACAATATAAGAATACACTGAAGATATATATAAAAATGTATAACTATAGAGTAAAACAAGTTAATAAACACAATCCATAACAGGCCTGACCAACCTGTGACAACCAAGCTAATAGGGTGGCCTGCTGATAAGATTGGTATATTCAATGTTCAATTTAACTTGGTCCCTCATTTTATACAAACAAAAATCTACAAATGTTGTTATAATGAAAAAGTGCAACTATTAACTTTAGTTGTTTATTTGACACCCAAGAATGCCAAATGCTATTAATAATAATAGGTAAATTTTAGAGCAAGAAAGGATAAATGTCTTACTAATTAATATATAAAAGTTATTTTAAGTGTTCCATAAGCAGTGTGTGTAATGGAACTAGACTGTAACAATCGTCACAGAATTATAATCTCTTTAAGATTAATAAAAATCCAGGAATAAAGAAAGCATAAAAATTAGTTTTTAACACCAGCTTACAAAGACGCTTGAATGAGAAGTGCTAATACTGAGAAACTATCTTGACCACGGAAATCAAGTGAAGCGTTCTTCCCTAATTTAAAAAAAAAATTTAATCTATTTAAAAATACCCAAATAAATAATTTTAAAAGTCAATCAGAATTTCCATTTATTTATTTCCTTAACAGTAATCCATCCATACTATTCAAGAAGAAATATTATTAAATATTAACTAGTTTCCAAAAGAAACAGAAATTAATTTAATACACTAAGGTTTTAATATCCCTTATAACAAGTTTCAAAATCTTTCATAAACAAATTAAGAACCCAATTTAGTAATGATTTATAGAAACTAGCATTTAACTACCAAAAGCTTCACTCATAGTTCAACTGAAACTATCACTAATGAATATTACCAGGCATGTAATTTAACACATATTAGACTATAATTCTCTGCAATGTTAACAGATAGTAAACCACACACCATGCATTTACAATCTACTCAAACACAAAGAGTCAGCATTGCTAATAAACATTTGTCAGGGAAAATTTTGCTATAGATCTTTGTTTACATGTTAATAAAAAAAAAAACAAATACAGTTCATAAGTAGGATACAGACCTTTTGGTAACAGCATGGTTGTCTTGTGACTTGTTCTGTGAACCCTCATTCGTTTTAACTGGGGTTGAACTCTGTGTGAAATAAGGATTAATGTTTTGAGCCATTATAATGGAACTATATCAATATTAGTTCTTGATATGAAATAATCGAGAAAAAAAAAAAGCTCAACTATGAAATAACACTAAATAAAACCCTATATAGAACAAAAGTTGGGAAGAAAGTTTCCGACATATAAGTTTCTGTCAAGAAAACAATAAACCCGTTATCACAAACAACGTTAACAAACTAAGGGAATATGGCGTCTCAGTGCTACCTAAAGGTTCGTTCTAAATGATCTTAAAGTTAAAATTAAATTCCCGAATGCTTAAAGGATTATTTTAAAATTTCTGACTTAGCAATGAGAATCATTTTAAAGTTTAAAACAATTTCATTGCATTGGAGATAAGATTCGAAATTATCAAGGAATTTATAAGGTATTCTAAAGATAACGGTCTCATTTGATTTTAAAACTCTATTGCCCTATTATAAGCTTTTACAGTTTTTAATTCATTATTCTTTCCGATAAACATCAGTCATTTTAAAACCCTTACAATTATTCTCAAAGTTCTAAGTTTTGATTTTAAAAACCTATTTGAAATAATTTTTTTTTTAAATCCAAAGAAAATTATTGTATAATTAATTACGAGGTAAGTGATGGTTTTCATTAATTGTATTAAAAGGAAATGAAGTCAAAATTTTAAAGCGTAAAAATAGTTTATATTAGAAAACACCTTGTTTATTAAGAAATCATACTGAATGGTATACCTTTAACTTAAAATTTACACATGGGGGAGGGGTAGATCTCCCCACTGTTGAGTTTTCCGTTGTTGAAACTCCTTAACTTATAAGAAACTTAATTTTTAGGTGGAAAGATATTTTGTATCTTTAGTAATTTGAGAATAAGAAAACAATAGAATTTACAATGATATATAATTTAATCGTAGCACGAATATAATATATAGAATGTATAATCTATATACATAATTCTATATATAATCTATATCTATCTCTGCACAGGCGGATCTTCGGGGAGGGCTTTCGGCCACCTTGAATGGCAATAAGTAACAAGGCTAAATGTGTTTATTCATACCATTATAGTATTTTTTTGGCGTATGACAAAAGAGAAATAACTCAGTAGTTCCTACTAAAGATACAAAATATCTTTCCACTTTAAAATTAAGTTTCCTAAGGAGTTATATTAAGTTTCAACAACGGAAAACTCAACAGTGGTTAGATCTATCCCCCCCCCCCCGCCATGCGTAACTTTTAGGTTAAAGGTATTCCACTCAGTATGATTCCTTGATAAAAAAGGTGTTTTTTAATATAAACTCTTTTTACGCTATAAAATTTTGACTTCATTTTCTTTTAATACAATTAATGAAAACTATCACTTACCTCGTAATTAATTTTACAATAATTTTCTTTGGATTTAAAAAAAAAAAATTATTTCAAATAGGTTTTTAAAATCAATACTTAGAATTTTGAGAATAATTGTAAGGGTTTTAAAATGACTGATGTTTATCGGGAGGAATAATGAATTAAAAACTGTAAAAGCTTATAATAGGGCAATAGAGTTTTAATATCAAATGATACCGTTATCTTTAGAATACCTTATAAGTTCTGTTCATATTTTTATGTACTTACTGTTTATAATTTTAATTCCACAATTCTCTATATTTGTTTGTATCTTGTCCGTTCTAGCCCTGAAGAAGACCTACAAAGTCGGGTCGAAACGTTGGCTTTTAATAAAATAGTTTTCCCACTATTTAGCCTATTTATGAACGCCACCCCGGACCATCTCCTTCCTGTATTTATATAATTATTTTGGTAAGTATAAAACGTTGGGCAAAGCCTCCAAAAAAATAATAGATTATATAGAATAAACTATGTATATTATATATACTCACGGAGTTAAAATAGTTCATGAATGATTTACTCATGGTGATAAAATGTTTTATGAGTAATTTACTAATTTACTCATGGCTAAGCTTCTAAGAGTGATCACTCGTGATGTCATCGCTGCAAATTTACTTGAGTAATTCCCCAACACTGGAACAGACTGCAGGATGTGTAATTGTATATCATCATCATCACAGGCACTACAACCCGCTAGGGGTCTTCGCCACATCAAACGTCGCCTCCATTTCTCTTTGTCTTGTGAAGGGTCTGCCAAGCTCTAATATTCAGAAGCTTCTCTACGACGGCTTCGACCTCATCTGCCCATCTCAGTCGTGGTCGTCCTGTCTTTCTTCTGCCATCCATATGCCGAATAGTAGCCGCTTGATTGGCGAGTCCCCATCCATCCTTGCAACGCGCCCAGCCCATTTTAGCCTAGAGAGCCATATAAATTGCACCACATCCGGTTCCCGGTAATTTGTTACAGCTCTGCATCATGCCTTAGACTATAATGATTTTCAACTTTTACAGGGCCAAGCATACTTCTCAGGATCTTTCTCTCGAAAATCTGCAACCTGATGGCGTCTGTTCGTGATAATGGCCATGTCTCTGAGCTATAAGTCAGTACAAGTCTAATAAGAGATTTTTACAGAGCGATATTAGTGGATCTAGCCAGCAGATGACCTCTTAAAACTTTAGCTAGGCCAAAATAGCACCTATTAGCTGATGTAATTCTTCTTTGCACTTATTGACTAGGCACAATATCTGCACAAACTAAGGATCCTAGATACACTAAATTATTTACGTTTTCAAATGTATATCCTCCAAATATAACTGTGGGTGGTGGTGGCCTTGGTGAGTTGGCAATCATATATTTGGTCTTTGCTTGGTTAATACTTAGACATATTACCAGTCCTTGCTGCCTCTATAGCTAAGAAGGTCCTTTCTAATTCCCTCTGTGATCTAGCTATAATATATAAGTCATCTGCTTAGACCAGAATCTGAAATGATTTGGTGAGAATCGTCCCACTTCTTTGCACTTCGAAGTCCCTTATCACCTTTTCTAGTGCAAGATTAAATAGCAGGCATGATAAGCAATCTCCTTGTCTTAGGCATCTTGTAGTCGTGAATGTCTCTGACAGCTCTCCCTGTATTCTGACTTCACACCATGAACCTATTATCAGCAGCTCTGTAAGATGGATCAATTCAAGTGGGATATTCATTGTTTTCATAGCCTGATACAGCCTTTCTCCGATGACACTGTCATATGTACTGCTAAAATATATGAAAAGGTGATGTGTGGTAACATTATATTCCCTTGTTCTTTCAAGCACAGTCCTTAAGGCAAAGATCTGATCAGTGGTAGATCTTTCTCTCATGAAACCACATTGATATTCCCATCTCTCTTTCTGCAAGCGAAAGTAGCCTCCGATAGATGACGTTAGATAACACCTTATATGTGCATTTGAGGAGAGTTATACCACGGTAATTATTGCAGCTGGTTTGATCTCACTTTTTATGGAGAGGGATTATGACGCCGGCGTACCATTCCTCAGGCATGGTGTTAGTTATCCAAATACCATGGAGAAGGTCACGGATAACTTTGATTAGTTCGTTTCCTCCAGCCTTCAGAAGTTCCGCGGCTATGTTATCAGATCCTGGGGTTGTGTTGTTTTTGGATGGAGTCATATATTTCCTTGTCATCTGGTGGACCGGTTAAGCCATTGCACAGAACAGGAATTACACTATTCACTGAGGGGTCCTCAAGGGTTCCCAAAATACTTCCAAAGAGGGTGACCCATCTGCCAAGAATGGTGTTTTTGCTTGTAATAAGTGATCCATCCTATCCTCGGCAAGCATTGGATCTTGGCTTGAATTCTTTACGCTGGGCATTCACATTCTTGTAGAAAGCTCTTACGTCCGCTTGACTCCTTTGTTCTTCGATTTCCTTTATTTTCTCTTGTTCTTGTTTCCTCTGTTTTTCTTCTCTGAATGCATTTCTATTCTCGCCTTCTGTCTTTATATTCCTTAACTGCTTGGCGAGTTCAGTGCCTCTCTGTCATTCTCCTGTACGCTTCGTTTTTCCTGTCTGTCGCTGCCTGGCACTCCGAGTCAAACTATTTAGATGTTTAGTGGACTTCCTTCGTACCCAAAACCTCTTCTGCAGTTTGCTTGATGGCAAATTTGCAGTGGTTCCATCTTCCGTTCACCGTATCTTCATAAGGGCCCCCTTCTAAAGCTTTATCAAGTCTTTGGGTGAATTCTTCCTTACACTCTGGTTCACTTAGTTTTCGAGTATTAATCCTTTCCATCCGGTCCCCCTTTCGTTTTATGAGCATTACTTATTCTGGCTCGAATTCGTGATAGGACCAGTTAGTGATCACTGTCAACATTCGCTCCTCTGAATGCTCTCACTGCTATGAGACTAGACCTTTGTCTCCGACTAACCAGTATATGGTCAATTTGCGTACATGTATTGTTATCTGGGGTAACCCACGTGGCTTTATAAATGTTTTTACGGTCAAACGTAGTGCTGCCAACAACCGTATCTTGGAATGCGGCGAAATCCACCAGCCTTGAACCTTTATCATTAGATTCTGGATGTAGACTATGTCTTCCTACTATTGGCAAAAGAGCGGGCTCTCTTCCAACCTGTGCATTAAGGTCACCCAGAACTATCTTTACATCACGGCGTGGGCATTCTGCAAGCACCCGTTCTAAGTCATGATAGAAATCATCTTTAGCCTGCTCGTCTACAACCTCAGTCGGCGCGTGAACCGAAACCAAAGAATAATTTCTAAACCTGCTCGTAATTCTCATCATGCCTAACCGGTGATTAACTGCCTTGAAATCCATGATATGCTCCCTCATATTACTGCTAACCACAAAACCTACCAAAAAGATATGTTGATTCCGGTGGCAATTATAATAATTGGTATGATATTTCTTCTCCATAATTCCAGAGCCTACCCATCTTATTTCTTGCACTGCAGTGATGTCCGTCTTATATTTATAAAGTTCATCCAGGAGCAATTTTAATGCTCCAGCTCTATACAAGGTACGAACATTCCATGTCGCCAACTTGAATTCCTTGAGAACGCCGGGTTTATACCGTTTAGACTGTCAAAATCCGAGGCAATTTTCTTGATGTTTTACAGCCACAAGAAGTTTTATGAGAGAGGAGCATCTAACCCCTCCGCTCAACCCCCAACCTGAAGGACCAGTCCTGTAATCCTGTAACCCATCAAATAGCGTCCTAAAGTGGTTCCGTTCCTTCTTGTATCACAGGTGACAAACAGTCATTATTCCCCAATAAAATCCTTCTTCTTATCCTCACTAACTCTTGGTGTTTCGCAGGGATCTTCGCTCTCTCCAACTCTTTTCTCCATATACGTTAAAGAGCTTCATGATTCCATCCATCATTCACAATACCACTTGTAGAATAGAATAGAAGAATCAACTTTATTCTGGGACAAAGTCCCTTGAGAATAACAATATTGTACATAAAAATTAACATAACATCTGGCCAAAATGTATATTACAATAAAAAAAAACTAAAAAATAAGTAATAACAGAAGGATTTTCATAACTATACAGATATATTAAAAACTTAATATAAGCAATAAGGTCATAATACTGCAAAATAGTTGCTACAAACCATAAACTATAGAATTCTAAATGAAATGAACGGCAAATTACTTTTGTTGCCATACCATTGTATTAATGAAAAAAATAATTATAAAAGAGTGGATAAATATTTACTTTAAATGACTTACATATGTACCTTAATATGTTCAAAGAATACAGTAATAGTATTGTAAACATTATGCAAGTCCTATATAATCTAAATCCTAAGATATAGATTGATCTGTGAAAATAAAAGATAATATACATATAGACGAGATTATATACATATATAATATACATGATAAATGGCTACCCAGCGTCTGATTGAATTGTAAGGAGGAATTGGAATAAGAGGGTTTTAAATATGGATAATGATGGTGCATGGCGGATTTTAAGTGGGATGGAATTCCAAAAGGTGGTAGAGCGGACAATAAAAGAGTGTTGAATTGAGGCCGATTTGTGGAAAGGGGTATAAAAGTCAGAAGGACGAGATCTTGTTGAGAGGGAGTGGATAGATCACTTGAATTGAAAGAGATTGAATGCGTAGGACGGGCGATGATTATAGATTATTTGGTAAAGGAACATACCTAGGAAATATTGTCTTCTGAAGGAGGGAAAGAGTCACCCCAACTCGGCGTAGTAGTGTAAAACACGAGAACGTCTCGGGATTCCATTGATAAATCGTACTAAGCCATTCATGATTCTTTTCAGTCTATCTCCAAGTTTCGATGAGAGGCCACCGTATACTACGCAGCCGTAGTCAATGTGGGGGAAGATGAGGGCGGATACTAGGAGTCTACGTGGGGGCATGGGTAGGAGATGGCGGAAGCGATGGAAGAGTTTCAGGATGGAAATTGAACGTCGGGATATGTGGGAAATATGGTGGTTCCAGAAGAGGGTTTGATCTAAGAAAACACCTAAGTTTTTAACTGAAGAGTTGAAGGTGATGGGTTAGTCATTTAGGTACAGGAGAGGAATATTGGTATTGAATCTGAGAAGGGGTTTGGAACCAATGACAATGACTTGGGTTTTAGCAGCGTTTAATTCAATATTTAATCCATTTTCACTTGCCCAGGCACAAATCCGATTTAAGTCTTCTCGTATTTTGGCAAACGCATCATGCCACTCAGAGGGAGCAAAGGAGAGGTAAATTTGGGAATCATCGGCATAAAGGTGATGGGAACAGTGAAGGATTGATTTATGAAGGTGGTTAATATATGAAATAAAAAGGGGAGGAGATATGCTAGAGCCCTGTGCCACTCCTGAGGACTGAGTTAGATATGATGATGAAGGTTGGTTTGGAATAGAGACTGCGTGGGTACGTTGAGAGAGGAATGATTGAAACCAAAGGATGAAGGTGTTGGAGAAGGATAACGATTTCGATTTGGAGAAAAGGATGGAATGGTTAATGGTATCAAAGGCTTTGGAAAAGTCTAGGAGTACAAGGACAGTTTGTATGTTTGTATGCTGATTATCTCCAAATATACCTTTCCTTTTATCCTACTGAGATACTTGAGGCGATCCGAAGACTACAAAAAGTTATTATCAGTATTACCATCTGGGCAGCGATTAATGATTTAAAGTTGAACGTCGAGAAGACCGAAGCCATTCTCATTGGTTCCTAGCATCATATTAATTCCATCCCATACTATCCCCTTCTCTACCTTAATGGACAACCTATTCGTTTCCATACTTCTGTTAGAAATTTAGGAGTAATTTTCGATCAATATCTCTCTTGGAATAATTATGTTTTCCAAATTATCTGAAAATCCATTCCTACCCTAAAACGGTTCCTGAGATTCCGTGATTGTATGGTCCTAAAAATCCGCCAATTTCTAGTTTCCTTTACTCCGATTACGACTGGATAGTATACGGTGGACTGTCTGGCGGGCTTCAGATCAGATTGAAGAGATTAATGAATTGTTTCATTCCATTCATCTATGGAGCCTCCAGGCTCTTCCATGTCTCCGGTTAGTATGCCGAGTTGAAGTGGTTCTACTCAGTTCTCCGGCGACAAATTTCCTTTTCCGAACTTTTACAACCAAAAAGCCATCTTACCTCCTTAATTTGTTTACTCCTTGTTCCACTGTTCATTCGTTCAATACGAGATCCCAGTCCATAAACCTATTGTCCATAAGCCAGACAATTATCATTTTTTTGTTCACCGTAGTTATTCTAAGGAGACTAAATGTGCCAGAATAAAATTTATTTTCTTCTTCATCTTCTTCTTCTATAACTCCATCAATCAACGATGAATCAAAGCGTATGTACTCTTTAATAAATTAAAGAACGTTAAATTGTGCGTCAAACGAGTACATAAACTTTATAATTTGTTACGTGGTAAGGTATAAAACCTAATTTTTCAAAAACTCATACAAATGGCTATAAATGGTTCTGCAAATTGGAAATAAGTTCCTTAAGAGAAAAAAAACATAGAATCAAAGTTGTAGAACATCAAATTTTGTGTTCAGTGGATATCAACTAATTTAATGTAGGTCACTTATTCCGAACAAAATCGGTAATTTCCTTAGAAATTGGTAATGAAGGTAAACGTGATTTTCAATATTTCAACAGTATGGGTGTCTATTCTATTGAGTTATTTTTGTTTAGAGTCTTTTAAATGCAGTAGTATAAGCCTCTTTCCCACCACTTTACAGGAGGTAAGGATTTTGATAAACCATATGTCGAAAGATATCGAATTTCATAAAGGAATGACGAATCCCGATTCGAGATATATAATTGGCCTACAATAAAAATGTCAGTACTCAGTAGACGCAAAATTTGATGCTCTACAACTTTCCTTACAAGTTAGAGGGCCATTTATAGTAATTTTTCTCAGTTTTTGACAAATTTGGTAAAAATCAGCGTTGGTTGGCCGTGGTTTTACACATTACCACGTAACCAAATTATAGTAGTACTTTACCAACGCAAAATTTTCCAACGTTAACATTCTTTAATTAATTAAACAGTACATTCGCTTTGATGCATAGTTTAGGAGTTATAGGTGAGAAAACAAAAAAATATAGAAATTTTTTGACTTTTTTGGCTGTAAAAAGTTTTCCCTTGGTGGCCCGCATTAGTAATTTTGTTTATTGCATGTCTAAACCAATATATACAAGTTAAATAAATAAAAAATGTTCTCACATTCACAGCTTCAGGGCGATGGTTACACAGCTGGTTCCAGAACATTCGTCCTGTTCCTCGTTGTCATTATTAGGAACCGATACTAGTGAAGGGATGTGACAGAGATTTTCTGTCACAACTCTGACAGTGACAGCTCCGGAAAAATGACTGTGACAAATCACAGTGATTTTTTTTTGATAAGTATATAATGGCTCCTTGTCATTTGAAAATATAATGGCGTCACGGTGAAATCATAGTTTACGTGTTTAAAATTATATTAAAATAAATAAATTTTTCTTGTGATAAATTTTATATTTGACGGAGGAAAATATTTTTGGGATCCCTTTGTTTCTGTATACAGCCCTGCAGAGAATATTCGAATTTATTTAATTTTTAATTAATTTCTTATTTATATTTCAACAGTTTAAATGAAAAACTTTCAGTTAATTATTTCTGACATGACTCATTCAGAAATAAATGGAAATGAATGTCCAATTCATCAAAGTTAAAAAAGTATTTTTAATAAAATTTGACAAACAACTATTATTTTAGAAGTAATTATTTCATGATTATTCCTTTAATTCATTTATTAAATAAATGAAGTCAAAATGAAAAAGAAGTGATAGTTCGGAGTGATCAGAGCTGTGATTTCACAGCTGAAATCACTGTGCGCCAACAGTGATCGTCACTGTTGTAGCACAGTGATTGTCGCTGTTGGCGTACAGTGATTTCGCAGCGCCTACAGTGATCGCCACTGTTGGAGCACAGTGATCGTCACTGTTGGCGTACAGTGATTTCACAGCGCTTACAGTGACCGTCACTGTGATTTCGATGCGCCTGTCACTGCGATCACCAGCTGCGGCCCAGTCACAGTGACAGAATCACAGCTCCGCCTATATGGCCCCATCACCAACCGATACTCTGTGACACGTCATTGCTCCACCAGTACCAGAAAATCCCTAGGTATTTCTGAACTATCACATTCAGAGAATGAGTTTTCTAACCAAACTAGGGTCCTTTATAGACTCGCTAAGCTTCTGATAAAAGCATTGTAACTCGGCCTGCAAGTAAATGGAAATAAAACAAAACAATATAATAGTAAGCCAAAAACTCCACCGCAATAACAGATTTTGTTAATGTTAATGTTAATACTGAGGATGAGGAAATATGTATAAGTCCATACTTATTTTCTTTTTATTATCACAAATTTTTCATGTATTTTTTTAAAAACTCTTTGGAATTATAATTTTAATTTTTCACCATAAAATAATTTAGACCACCAAATTTTTATTTTTATTTCTTTTTTACGAATATGCTATTTCCAATAGAAAATTATGTTAATTGATTTTGTTATAAATCGACTAATGGTCTCACTTTACTACAATCGACTATTGGCCACTTTTGATTCACTCTTAGCGGGAAGCGTTAATAATTCAATTGCAATTATTACAAAGAACTTAATTGTTTTGTAACATTTTAAATTTAAAAATTATCGTTATTACCAATTTTTATGTTCACTATAATGTTATTGAATAACTCAAAACTATATTCATATGTTCTACGATCGTGTCTTGTTTGAAGTGAAGAACGATCCTAGGGTATCATTTGTTGTGTTATTTGCTCTAACATCAGATCACGAATAGAATACCGTTTAATCTCTTTATAAGAAGTAGGTACAATACAATACCACTTTACTATAATTTACAGATGCCTAATGTGTTAGCCACATTATTGATGTCTTTCCTCCATCTAAATGAAAAATTTTTGGAAGCCCATTTCTATTTTACTTTTTTATCAAAAATTACCATTCCTTTAAAGTCGTTACTATAATTTCTAATTTTCTATGTGTATAACTCTTTTAGTTTATCCCTTTTAAATGTAAATTATAAATTGTTTTTAATTTATAACCTTTTTTTAAAAGTTTAACAGTATTTTTTACTTTTCCACTAAATTTAATTTATTTTTATTTTGGAATATTTTTTGTAATTATTTCCTAGAATATAACAATTTATTAAAAAGTCATTTTAGTAATTAAATAATCAAGTCTTATCTCTGATAGTGAGTTATCTTATAAGGGTTTAATTTGTTATTTTATTTATTTTAATATATATATGTTTTTAAAGTAAATATAATACAGTTATATTTATTATCTCAGAATTATTTATTATAATACAGGAATATAACATATCCTATGTTACATACTTATGTTATAATTTATTGTTTATTGGTAATATATATCTCTATAATGTGTCATTTATGTTTATGTAATTTAGTGGATTCTTTATTTTCAAGTATATTACACACATTCCTTACCTTTACTTCAAATTCGGATTACTCCCTTGCCATAGCAATCTGCTGGTCTTACTTTTTACCCATTTTCTTAACTCTCGTGTACCTAACTTTCATAGTCGATACTTTGACTTGTATGAAATAGATAAGTTTACTAATCTGTTTAACTTAATAATAATTGCTGCTAAAATACTAACATATAAATGTATTTGTATCCACTTGTTTAAATTTTGATCCATCAATACCTGTAGCATCAAACAATGCTCTTTACTGTGAATCCTAATTTGTGAGCTTTTTATTTAAATGTACTTATTTCACAAATAATGCTTTTTATGTACTGTTATAATTATATCGAGTTTTACTTTACGGTATTTGGTTGTACTTTATATATTTCTAATTTTTTTACATTTCATACGCTAGGTTATTTCAAAAATTAAGTTCTTGTATTGAATTTTATTTATGTTCACATGCTAATTTATTTAGTTGTGTTGGAAATATGATCTGCCCTAACCTGTTGAAAGACAAATGAACTCGGGTAGTTTATGCATCTTATGTAGTGTGATCATCTGATCTTGATGGTCCTGCCATCCAGATCTCACACAACTGTAGTGTTACTAAAGTGTTGTAGTGAGGAAAAAACTTTGCCTCCTTCCATTACTGCTAATTTATTCTCAGCTTATTCATAACCTTACTGGTTTAAATGTAAATCTTAGCAGTCATTAGGACTAATATTCTGTGTAAGAGTTACTGATGCTGTGTTGAGAGAGAAGGCATCCGGAGAAAACAATCCTCTACTGTATTTATTGTAACAATATCAGTAATTTATGGGTTATCACTGTTTGACACTCAGCACTAAATTTGTAATAGCAACACTAATAGATTTCTAAAACATTTTGAAATATCCTAACCTACGAGTATGAGTGAATTAAGATCCCATAATATTTACAATGTTTTAGGAATCTACTGCTAGACAAATTTAGTTCTGGAGGTGTTAAAAATATATCAGTATCCTGTCTAGTATTGATATCTTAATTAATAATTTTAGTATTGTTGTCCTACTTTTCATGGTGATTCCAAAAGTCTTTTCAGTAAACTTAGACGTTAAAAAAAAAACTCTGCTCCTATCCAGTTTTTATTATATCTTTTAATGAAATCCTTATACATTCGTACATAGTATTATTTTTTATAAGATGTTTAATTTATAATTTGCATTGTTTCAGATAACTTTGTTTTATTTGTTGTCAACCATGGGAGGCGGCAAAAGTAAACAAAAGGTAAAGGTTCCGCAACTTCGATTCAAACTTCACGATAGCAAGAAAGTTAATATTTACAAAATCTTTGATTGTGTTACAAAAGAAGGGGTACCTCCTGTAACTCGCGAATTTCTCCAGGTAAATGTTTATTTAGTTACTTTTCTAAGCATAATTGTATGATCTACTTACATTCTTACCAGAATTTTGCCTATTTTTGGCCTCTCTTCAAGGTGTGGATCCTGAGAGGTACACAAAATTTCATATAACCATAGTCAAATTTTCTGCTGAAAAGTAGAAAATTTAAGATTTTAAGATAAGACAATAATGAAGTGAAATCATAACAACTGACCGCTTATATCGGTTGAAATTTAAAAACTGACTCTTCCAAATTTACTTAATTAATGGAGTGTATTTAACTGAAGGACTTACACTTGTAACTGGGCTCAAAATATGCTGCAAACCAATCTAAAATAGAATGTGAGATGACTGATGACATTAATCATAAAAAACTGACTTGATTTTTTAATTTCAGTTGAAGCTATTCAACGAAAAACCTCATGACAGAAAATTATCTCATTCGATAGATTAGATGAAAATAAATTGAAACCATACCAACTGACCACTTAAATCGCTTGCAATTTTAAAACCGACGGTGCCAAAGTTACTAATTTTTGTGGTGCATTTAACGGAAGGACTTATATTTGGAACTCGGCTCAAAATACACAGCAACCCAATCTAAAATAGAATTTGAGATGACTGATGAGGTTAGTTTTTGCATTTTTGAAACTGACTTGATTTTGTGAACATAGGTTAAAATATTTCAACGAAGAACCTTACAGCTGAAAGTAGTCTTCTTCGATATATAAAAGAGAAATGAAGTGAATGCATGCCAACTGACCACTCAAGTTGGTTGTAATTTAAAAACTGACTCCCCCAAATCCTCTATATTTTTTTGAATGAATGAATGAAAATAATTTTTATTATTCTGGGACTAGTGTCCCTTTAGAACAAGTTACAAGTACAGAACATATATTAATATTCTGGTGTGCCTATAAAATACAATTAAATATTTGCAGGAGGATTAGGAATACAATAAAATTATAGATAATAAAAAGATATAAAAACGTTTATAAATATAAAATAAACAGAGAAAGTAAATTAAGTAAACAAAATATCAATGAATCACAAAATAGTCAAATTATCTGGGTGTACTTTGAGATTGTTACAGCTTAGGTTTTTAAGTGCATTTCGTGATCAATCTGATTGGGAATTACACGGTGGGCCAGACCCCCTTACCGTGCACCCCCCCCCCACATCCCTATAAATTGCATATCGTTGTGTTCCTTGTAACAATTTATTAAAAAAAAGCCAATGTTCCCACAAAAAAAAGTGAATGCACTGCCCCTAAATGGCGTCCAAAGATGGCGGATTGACAACTTTGACTTTAGTTAGTTTTTTGGTCACTGAGAATCAGCATTAAGCTTAATTTCCTCATAGTTGGTCTTTTATTAAAGCTGAATAGTTATAGAATAATAAAACATGAAGAAATATTAAAAAATAATTGGCTAAGGCTATGAAAAACACAAGTAAAGTCAATTTTTTTAACAAAAAAATTTTCAAGTTACAAATCAAGCGTCGTTTGTAATTAAATGGCCTACAATAACGCAAAACGTGCTGAAATAAACCATCTGGAGAATATATTTCTCTTTCTGAAACGCTGATTATTTTTTACAAATGTTTAAGTAGTTCTGTAAAAAATGCACTTATGCGGCAGAAAAGCGGTACTGGCGTGGGTGCCTACAGGCCTCTACCACACCATTCAGTGCCCATAAATGGCTTAGTTATAGTGATATAATAACATTTTTGGTACATTATATTGGTTTTATTAATGAACAAATATTAATGCAATAATTTTATAGTAAAAACAAAAAAAAAAAATTAAACTTAAAAAAAAATGTATTATTATTTTTTTAAATTTTAACCTCCTTTATTCTATACGTAGGTCGTTTAAGAATACCTCAATTGTAAAAATGATATAATTATAATAATAAAACTTAATTAAAAAATATTTTGCTAAATATCTTGATTTTTTTTATAACGTTTGCAATTTAACACTGTGTTTTGAATATTTACTGATTCTTAGAAGTAATTAAAATTTTTATATACTTCCCAGGAAATGAGTCATATCCATAACTTTTTTATAAACTAAAATAATATATACCTAATCTGAACTATATATAATGAATAGCTACCGGGTTGTTTAGTAAAACTCATATATCACTAATTAAAAAATTAATTTTTATTTCCTTTATTTTGTGCAGAAGTTGGACTATATCATAAATAAATAGGAAATTTTAATATTGAATGAATTATTCTCTATGCACAAAGAAAGATATAAAGGGTGACCCTATAAGTTCTTCTATAAACCAAAACTGATTGTTTGAATTTGATCTCAAAATGAGGAAAAACGTGAACTTAAACAGATTAAAGGAGTAGAGGAGGTTTGATAAATAGGCTTGGTTAGAAGAAGGAAATAATAGGTTGGTATTGAAGTCTCCGGAAAGAACAATATTAGAGCAGGAAGGGCTCAGTTCGTAAAGGGTGGTCTCGAGTGTTTCATCAAAGAGCAATAAATATTTGTTATTGTTTTTTATTTTATACATGCTGTAGGGTATATATTTATTTCTAGGAACAATAAAAAATGAGTTTTCCTGTGGCACAGTCCAGTGCACATCCGTGCACCTTCCATGGTGGGACTTGTGCCTTAATATTCTCTTTTCAGTCCAGCGGCTCTCAGAAGCATCCAGGACCTTCCCTCAGCAGGAGCGTAGACCAGAGCCGCCACTAAGTGTATCGGGTCTTCTCTACTATTTCCAACATCTTTGACAAGTGCACGGGGCACTGTCCGCTCCCAGCAAAATGCCTTATTTCATCTAGTGCCTTCCCTGACAAAATACAATTCTTGTACTTTGGTGGGGAGCCACTTTTCCTAACCTGACACTCGTTTGCCTTATGCTCGCAACTGCCACACCATCTGCATGTAAGGTCTTTCTTACATATAGCTTTGATATGACCATATTTCAGACACAAGGAGGCATCCAAGTAGTCCCTAACGCCCAATGTCCAGAAGCTGCAGAACTTTTCCATTTGCAAGAATGCTGTTCTAACGGACAAATGAACCTCCACTACCCAGGTTTTCTTTAGACTTTTAGTCCTTTGTTCTCCAAGGCTTGCATCTCCATCAGCATCTTAGCTTGCTCTGCCCCCTTAGTCTTCACCAGGACTAATCTGTGTACCCTGTAGTTCATGCTCGTTTGGGAAATCCTCCCATATGTTTCTCGGGTTCCAGTTTTCTCTACCTCTTATTGTAACATACGTGGGGAATTCCTCTGGTGCTGTGGAGAGGGACAATACGCCATTCTCCTTAATATGCCTGAGTATGTAAGCTTCTGATGTTCTACTTTTTCAATCCTCTTCCCCTCATCCTGTAGTGCCGAGGTGGCATTAAAAAAATAATGCCTAGGTGGCCTACAAAAAATAATGCTTGATTACTTTCAAGATAGTTAGCAATGTAGTTTGTTTTCAGATAACTTTTAGATTATTTTTAATATTGATAATATTTTTGTGTCTTTAATTAAGTTATAAACTTTGACATTTATTTTATCTTATATAAATATGACTATAGGTGACTTTGTTATTTCAGAATTCATGGAAGGACATCTTATCTCCCAGTTTGTTAGAATTGATAATGAACTACTTATTCAGAACTTCGCAAAGTATAAAGGTTGATGATTTGGAGGTTTTATATTATAAGTTCGTGGAGGGGACTTTTAATGAAAGGGCCCAAGCATTAGTAGACATTCTTGGTGTCGAAAACAGTATTTCTCCTGATATTTTTCAAGCAGTAAGTATACAACATCTCTTTCCCTTCATTGTTAATCTTTTCACAGCTTCAGACTAATCTACATTTGAATTGTTTTATGCTTACTATCATCAATGTATTAATTCTCCAGGAATATCTCATTCATCATCTTTGGACAAAATATCTGGCTAGTCAATCATACGCCGTTTTGAAATATGCAAATTAAGCATTCATGTTTTGGTCTAATTTTCTTCATATATCTACTGGAGTGTGAAGATCTGATCTAGATTGCTACTCTCATTTCTGAACTCATAATATAATACTACTTGATGGTCTTGTGGGAGAGGAGTGGGGTAGCTCAATGGTTAGAGGTTGAATACTGATCCTTAAAGTCCCTGGTTCGAGTCTGGCTGTTGGACAGATAAATTATTTATCACCCATGATATGTAGAACAGTCGACTAACTTCCTTCAAGAATTATTTATTCTATTTTATCTTCTGTAGATCGACCCAACAGAGTCTCTAGAGTCGAGAGACTCTCCTGTGTCATATCCAGCCTCTGTAAAGTGGGTACCCTTAATTAAATACTTAATTTAGGGGGACAACCTGTCAGTTGAGTGTGATCTTTGTCAAATTAGAAGTTATTTTATTTTATCTATTGATACCAGTGTAAAATTGATTTCATTTTATTTTTTATGTTTTCATTATTAGTAGGTGTAAATGTTTCAAAATACAGTCCACTTTCTTTTAAATCACAATCGACTAAATTTAAATACTAGTTAGGCTTCATTTGAAGTTGATTTAAACTGAAAGGGAGCTTAACAAACCTTTTAGGAATTCTTTCGTTACTAAGGCCAGCAATTTTACATGCTCATTTTATACGCCACAAGGTAATTTCTTCAATTATATTTACTAGATATAGTTGTATAACCGTCTGAATTCTCCGGTTAACTCATCCTTCTTCAGTCCAAATATATGACACAATATTTTATTTTAGCTAATTTTACTTTAGGATAGCTAAGTAGTTTTGTTACAGGAAAATAACAAGCATTTCACGCCTTTAGCCTAACCTTAATTTCCTCTTTAATTTTATTATTTCTGCTTATCGTAGACCCTAAATACCTAAGCTTCTCTACGCATTCAAACATATTCCCTTCTAAATCAATATCACCAAAATGTTCGTCATTTTTACTGCTAACCATATATTCCATTTTGTCCGTATTTATTTTGAGCCTCAGTTCTTTACTAGCTTTCATTAACGTTGTGGTATTTAGTTTTATAGTTTTCGTGTCTTCATTTTACAGGACCAAACCATCAGCATAATCAAGCATAGATGTTGTTGCACCCAGATTCAAACCTTTTTCGGTATGCATTACCTACCTAATGGCAAACTCCAATGCTAAATTAAACAGAACAGTTGAAAGGGAATCACCTTGTTTTAAACTCAAACTTATCGGATAAATAATTACCAATTCTAACTTTATTGAATGCATCTGTCAAGCATGTATTAGTAACTAGATTTACTAATATTTTTGGAATCCCCAAAAAAATTATAATCAATTAGAATATTATACAGCTTCTTGCAGTCAATAGAATCGTAAGCTTTTTTGAAATTGATATAAAGCTGGTGTACAATACCGTTATACTCCAATATTTGATCGGTAGTTGAACAGTTCTGTCTAAATTCACATTGATAGTCTCCGATAATTTCCTCGGCGTATTATGGTGTATATTTAATTAGTAAGAATTAATGTGAATATTTTATAATGTACCGGAAGTAGGGAGATTCCTTCGATAATCATTAAAATCCGTCTTTGACACCTTTTTGTAAATCGGAATAAAAATAGATTCTTTCTATTCTTCAGGCAATTTATCATTCTCCCAGATCTGTTTAACCAAACAATGTATTTTAGAAGCTCCGGCTTCCTTACATGCCTTAATTAATTCACTAGGAATATTATCGGTTCCCGCTGCTTTATAAGATTTTATTCTGTTCATTATACCTAGATTTGGTATTTTGAGGCCTTAATTAATATATAAGATTTTAATTTACTGATAGCTACTTCAGCTTCCTCTTTAATCGGTTCTTCTATAAATGGTTCAGCACTCTGGTACTCAGAGGGAGGACACTAACCATTTTTTGACAAACTTAAAATATTATCAAAATGTTTCTTAAACTTACTTAATATGTCTACCAGATCGGTCAGAATATTGTTATCTTCATCCCTAATTCCAGACGTTACAGGCCCTAAACATTTACGTGATCTGTTTATACCTTTGTACATGTCCTTTACATTATTGTGATTGTATTAGTTTCGATTTATATTATCTGCTTTTTAAGATAATCTCTTTTTATTTTTGAGCAATTTAGTCATTTCATTCTTTAAGGTTCGAAAGTATTCAAGATTTGTCTTCCCGAGGATTTCCAGGATGTTGGGAAGGTAGCGTTTTGTATTGAGTAATTGTAGATCTGGTAGAAGATTGGAAGAATGGATGGTAGAGAGGCTTTGGTAAGTCTGTCTGGGATGTTATAGGGTCCATAATCGTTGGTGTGCGATTTCTGAATGGTGTTGAGGAGGTTTCACTTTCAAATTTTCACTTTGAATATTACTTTATATTGCTATGTCAATCATTCATCAAGGGATCAACATAAACATAAATTTAAGCAAAGACCGATGTATCGGCCTTATGACCATATTTGATTAAGATTGGTAAACTTTGCAATTTTTTAAATATTTATTTATTTACTCATCCTCTCACCAGATTTTCATCAGATATGGATATCCTAAGGACTGAGTTTTACTTTACCGATATATTGCCCTCTTTTACATTGAATATTATTTGTATTGATAATAAATGTGTCAATCAAACGTTAACGGGTCTGCATAAAAATAAATTTAAACAATGACCCATATATCGCCCTTATGACTTTATTGTATTGAGATTGATAGACTTTAAAGATTTTTTATTTATTAATTTTTTTATTTTATTTATAAAATCTAATCACATAATTTATAACAGTCCTCATCTCCTGCTTATCTGATGAAATGTAAAAATAAAAATTAACCCTACTGTCTAAATGGGCTACCTCTCCTCTTTACGAGTTGTTTTTGTTAGCCGATATTAATCTAATGATTGCAGAATCCTCAAATTGAATATTATTGACACTCAAGTTAAATACGTTATTTTTCGTTTTTTTTTTTAATAGACCTCAGCATTTTTAAGATAATCCATTTTTTCACCAGACACGGCATGTATGAGTTTTACAGTACTATTTTTGTGTGGGTAGGAAGAAATTTCTAAATGATCCTTGAAATGAGGTGCACGGCCTGACCCATATAGAAATGTTCTTTAATTCGTTTTTTTTAGTTTCCTTCCAATCTTCCCAATATAAATGGCAGACTAAGTAAAATCCATTCTTACACATCAGAGTTGGGATTACTTGTCTCCTCATTCTCCAGTAATTGTATTTAAATATGTGATGATGTAGGGAATCGGTTGACCGTTGATATAATATGAGAAGGAGTTGATCGGGGGGTGCGGTCAAATTAATACTAAATTAAATAAGTAGAATTATTTAATTTTTGCCGACGTTTCGACCCACTTTGTAGGGCTACAAAATATGGTGAAAATAAATGAATATAAGTAGATATAAAATAAGAATAAGTTATCTATTACAGAACTAAAAGATGATATCAGAGATATAGTGGGTGACAATGTAGTTAAAATATCAAGTATTATATGTAGAAGATACAAACAAAAATGGAAAACAAGTATGAATAAAACAGGAAATAAAGGAGAATATAGCATGTAAGTAAAAGGTAAACAGATTGGGATAAAAGATAATGAATGAGTGTATAACAAACTAATAAAGATTACATTTGATAAATGTAGGTTAACATATAAAGAAAATGAATGTTAACGAATAAATAGGTTATAAATAGAATAAGTATTGATAAAGTAAAGCTAAAATAAGAATAAGATAACATAATAATAAGATATCAGTGGATAACACGCTAGTGAAGGTTATATTTGATAACTAAGTAAATAGCACACTGATATCTAATCACTTCTCTTCACACTCTTCTTCATCTTCGTTCAACAATTCTTCACATGATGACACATTGACCCCTTCAGTTTTAAACTCCTCTCTAGTAAGTTCCCCTCCCAGTCAAGCTCATTTATCCTTCTCATTTTTCAAAACCATTTACTCTTGTCACAGATACCACATTAACAACCTATGCTCGCTCCACGAACGCCTTGCCGACACGTTAGAACAGCATATTTTTTTACTGAAATGCCGTTCCAACTCTCTTTTCCTGAAATCAATCACTAATTCCCTCAATCACATTATTATTTCCAAACCACTCAATTCCAAATTATCAAACTGTTCTTTAAAATTCAAAAAATCCATCCTTAATTTAATAATATGTGAAATCATACAGCATATCCATCACCTCAACCAACAAATTTCCTCCATCACTCAGTTATTACAAACCGTCATGACTGACGAACACATGACTAACCTATCACAGATTATTTCCACCATCTTTATTACTACCAGATTTAAGAAAAAAAATATTCTCATCACTAAATTTAATGAAATTTTTCTACAGTCGTTAGCCCATAAGATATACCCAAAAGGAGACGATGATTGGGTCCACAACTCCTCATCCATAGATATTCCCTCCAACGTACTCAATATTTTAAGCTTAGGCCCGAATTTCTCCACCCCTAATTCCTCTACCAAACTCATCCCAGAACTGATTACAGACTTGGAATATATTTATAACAATCCGATTTTTCATCATTCTAATGATAATAAAGAATTATCTTGTGTTTCCATAACCAGCATTATCTCTAACCATCTCCAACACCCCCCATCCACTCCTTTTAATTTTTCTCCTCAATTCTTCAAAGATCTTTCTTCCACACGCTCCTTCCTTAAAAACCATGATGACATCATCATCTCAAAAGCTGACAAAGAAAATAAAACAGTTATCATGGACCTCACAGACTACAATAGAAAAATGACTAAACTCCTATCAACCTGAACTTCCAAAAATTCACAAATCCGGCACTCTCCTCCGTCCTATCACTTCCAATATTAACTCTGCCTCTTTAAAACTAAGCAAATTTCTACTCCCATCTCTGCAAACCCTTAGTCATGACAATCCATATGATATCCACAACTCCTTTCATCTACGTAATCTGTTATTATCCCTAACCATTCCCGAAAATTACATTCTAGTCTCCTTCGACGTTAAAAGCCTCTTCACTAACATCCCTATAGATAAAGCCCTTTTTATAGTAGAAAATAACCGGTCATCCTTAGAATCTCATACCTCCCTCAACCGTTCCTCATTTATTGAATCCCTGAAACTTTGTTGCAAATCCGGTTATCTCCAGTTCCGTGAACAATTTTACAATCAAATTGCAGGATTAGCTATGGGTAATCCCCTCGCACCCGACCTATCTAACATTGTTCTAAATGATCTCCTAAACACCATAGCTCCTTAGTTTCCTAATGACATTTTCCTTATAAAAAAATACGTCGATGATCTTCTCATCATCAATCCTGATACCATTCCTGACATCCTTTCCGCCTTTAACTCGTATCATCCCCGCCTCTGTTTTACAGTCGAATATGAAAATAACAATTCTCTCCCTTTCCTTGATCTTCTCATTAAAAGACATCCCAACAATACTTTATCCACAGACTGGTACACAAAACCGACATACTCTGGCAGATTACTTAACTACTATTCCCAACAACCCTTTCACCAAAAACTTAACGTTGCCAAAAACCTCATTCACCAATTTTTTTCTCTATCTGATCCTTGCCTACATGAAACAAACACAAGACGCATACAACAAATACTAATTTCTATCAACTTCCCTTCCAACACCATTAAGAAACTTATTACTGACTACAAAACCTGCCTCTCATCCTCCACCCCCTTCTCTAGTTCTCAAAATCTGCCCTCCATTCCTTTATATAGATCTCTACCATACATCCCTTTACTTTCTGATAAAATTCAAAAATCCCCATGACCATTGTGCTCCAATTTCAGTTGGTCGTTTTATTTAAAACGTTAATCCTGCTTCCGCGTATCTAAGTAGACTGATTGGATTGACCGACTCATAACTTCTGGGGAGATCCATTTGTTCCTCCCCAAATACCACCAGTCTCAGCCTTGTAAATCTATCACATCTGCATATGATGTGAAAAGCTGTTTCATTCTCCTCCTGACAGAATCTGGATTCGTCATTACTCGGAGATTGAACATATGATTGTTTAGCTTACAGTGACCTGTATAGATAGCTGTAAGCTTTTTAAGGGCTGCTCTGTCCATGTTCAGTAGCAGTTTGCTTCTTTTTTTACATGGACCTTTTAGGAACAGCTTCGAATGTCTCTGTTTCTTGTTGGTCCAGTAATTACTAAATTTGTTCCCATAAATCTCCCTGATCCTGCCCTTGGCAGTGCTGAGGCTGATTCCACAGACAGGCTCGGGAGTTACAGGAATGGTATCTGAGCCCAATCTGGCTAGCTCATCAGCCACCTCGTTGCCTGGTATGCCAGAGTGACCTGGCACCCACTCCACTGCAACTCTATTGTGCTCAGTTAGTTCGTTAAGTGCTATATTGCATTCCTTAACGACCTTTGAATAAACATAATAGTTGCTAATAGCACCTATTGCTGCCTGACTGTCAGTATAGGTGGTAATCTTTTTCTCAGTCACGTTGCTTTGCAGTAGGTTTTGTGCACAGTGACAGATTGCCAGTATTTCAGATTGAAACACTGAATAGAAATAGAGAAATAGATGGTATTTTCATGGAAAAAACCAAATACCATTAGCAATTTCAATGGAAATACACCACCATAACTGTTTAAAGGCTGTTTAATAATTAATAAAAATCTTTACTCTTAAAATTATATGAATGGGACAATATTCTTTATTACATCTATTTTAAACTTTATTAATATGTGCTTAGTAATTGAGAAAATTTATACATACTTTCATGTAAATTTAACAATATTCTTTAACGCAACTGTAAATACAACAATAATCGTATATACAGAAGTGAACATGATAGCAAATATATGTTTTTAGACTAGTAAATTTGAGTGAAAATAAATATTTTATAAATAAAGACAGATATTTATCTATCATTTGTGTAAATATAACAATATTCTTTATCGCATATTTAAATACAATTACTGGGGAATAATTGTTTAGTGCTGTAGGCCTCTAATATAGAAAAATAATTTTTATTTTTCTTATATCCATATTTATTTATGTGTGTAATCTGTGCTAAGTACATAAAAAATTTTCAATATGTATTATTTTTAAATTATAACCTATATAAAGCTGCAAAAGGTAAGCATCTGTCAAGAAAAATATATATAGATATTTTGTCCCTGAAAGCATAATTGTTCCTGCTTTTCTTTTTATAGCCCTTCATTTTCTTCCAGAGTAATTACCATTATTAATTTTTTTTTTTCAATAATCTTCCTCAAACATAATTCGTAACTTTGCTACTAATGAATCTTACAGTATTGTTATTCACACCTGTAAATACAACAGTATTCTCATTTATAGGAGTGAATACTGTAGTAAATATAGATTTACATCGCCGTCAGTACTTCCTAGCCACCTTTCTGTACCAAATCGTTAGAACTCATCGACCATCCTATATTTTTCACAGCTTACAATTCAAATACTCCATCCAATCCCGTCCCACCAGATCTTGTACTTCCAACTTCTATCCTCCTCCTCACCAAACTGCTGCGTTTGACAAATCCTTTACAATACAAGCCGTCTCCCTCTGGAATTCCATCCCTGCTCATATTCGACACGCTCAATCAGTTTCCTCTTTCAAACCTCTCCTCTTTAAGCACCTACTCCTTTCTCAATCCGACTGATTGTGAAATATACTTAAGAGAAATATCTAAGAACCGCCAGAGACTACCTCAATTTATTAAGGTTATTTTAGTTTCTCATATATATGTACAATTTACTTGTTCTTTTCTTTCTCTTTTCAGTATTTTTATCTTAAGTCAACTCTTATTGTAAATATACAACTTAATTGTAACCACACAGACATACAATCTGTATTTATATTTATAGACTGTTTAGAACCAGACATATAGGAACGAAGGCCGAAATTGCAGAAATATAGGTTTATCTACTCTGTTTTATTGGTCAACATTTACTTACAGGGCGATGTTCTATTTATTCTTTTATTTACCAATAAGTAGGATATTCCTTGTGAAAATGTATAAACCTTGACGAAAAGAGGAAAAAAACGCCGATATGGCCGATTCTGAGGATAGCATACTTGGCCTTGGAGTTTAAGGTGATGGATAAGGAATGATGGAAATAACGGGATTTGGCTCGGCATGTAGCAGACTGAGTGCTGTTTCGAAGTTGCTTGAAGGCGATATAGTCTTCCAGGAGTTGGGTAAATTTAAACTGCATCTTGCAGCATCTCAACTTCTTATGCACTCTCTCAGAGCGGGTGTCAGCCAAGGAGCAGGGGGATGCCGGATGGTTTTAGTTAGGAGAGGAGCATGGCAGTTGAGGATGGTGTGAAGATGGTTGGTAAGGATTTCTACTATGGCGTCATTGGATTTTAAGGAATAATGGGATCCCACTGGGTAGCGTCAAGATCCTGCGACAGAGCTTTATAGGTGAGGGAATTGAGGTTTCGGAAGGATATGGTTCGAGGGGGAAAAAATGGGACATTGTAGGAAATAGATCATGGGAAGACAGAAACTGAACCGGGTGCTGAGATGCTGCGAAGAGTTTATCTAGGGAATCCAAGTGTTTATCTCATGTTGATCAAGCTAGGACTCTTCGAACTGGGTATGATAGGTAGGATACGATATAAAGGCTGAGGTATTAGAGGAGGCTAGTCAGGTAGGAATGGTCAGAGGATGGTATCATTAAATTGGTATTGAAATCTCTGAGAGGATAGTATTGGAGTAGGAAAGGATCAAGTTGTAAAGGGAAGTCTCAAATAATTTATCAAAGGGAATTCTGGGAGGACGAAAATGATTGCAAAAAGAAGGGGGGATGATGGGATGAGGATTTCAGTAAAAAAGATATTCTAGGTGTGGAGAATCGGTATGGGAAGAGCAATGGAGGATTTTGAATTTAGGGCTGTCATAGACAAAGAGAACTACACTTTGTGGTGGTGAGACTTAACAATTTGTGGTGTATGATGAACTAAAGATATGTGAGTAGGGCGTTCAATCCTACATTACACCCTCCAGAGAAAGTCTGTCTTATTGTTGGTTAGCAAGTCCATCGGACTTAGCCAGGAGGAATTTCCACCGACCATCCCCACATCTGGCCACCTGTGGGACACTCCTCTTATGAGGTAATGAGATACACGTGGGATAATAAGATTTTATAATTTTTTCTTGGCTCCTAGGGCCATTAGCCAGAACCCTCAGACATGGGTCAAGTATTTTTTGACCTAGTATCACCAAAAAAATTTCATTGAAATATGTGACCCCACATCTGTAACCTTCCCTTGTTAGTTGTAAGAAATCATCTTTAAATTTAACCTAAATTTCTTATATCTGTTCAATAAATTACTTGTAATTTTTTTTTTCAATTTTTTTATTAATATGTTATAAAATAATTTAGAAATGGATTGATGTTATTAAGCAAAATAATTGATGCACTTTTTTTTTTTTTTAGTTCCTCATGGATTTAATGGAATCCTATTATATCATACTGAGAAAAAAATGCCCTGAAGCATTTTCTTCTTGGGTATCTGGAGATACCATAGAGAATAACGATGTAAAACTGGTTATCAATTATTACATGCGAGACTTGAAAGGTTTTGATGAAAAGGTAATACATTTTTTTTTTTTAAAGGAAACTATATTTAGTCCTAATTATATATAAAAACTTATTTATTGAAAAATATTATAATCTGTCTCTAGAACATTTATAATAGAGTTCACAGATCACATTCACACTCTATGTACAATAAATAAAATAAATTATACAGAAAAATAATATATATACAATAAATAAAAATAAAATAACATAAAAATATATAAATAAAAAGAACACATACACACCTATATACAATATTTACAATTTGGCGAGAGAACTCCAAACCAGACTTGTCCCTCCAACTGTGGAGGGAAAAGTATGACTCCAGGAGTTCCCTGCACTCCTCTCTCAACCGCGTCACTAGGGCTAAACCCAGTGGAGATTGAGCAAGAGTGCTTTAGCCACATACACTCATGTCGTGAGTGGAGAATCTGGCCATTGCCAGAACTCCAATGTTTACAAACTATAAAAGATCGCGAGGCCACTGCCGTTTTAACCTCCTTGGAGGATTATATGGATGGGTGGTGTTGGATAGAGATTGTGCAAAGGGATTTGGATGATGGGTAAGGTTCTGGTGGAATTTGGAGACTTTTGCTGGGATAAGTTCTAGGACAAATGGGATATTAAGGTCATGGTGTAGGGTTTTGTTGGTTACATAGAAAGGAGCATTGACTATTGTTTGAAGGACTTTGGATTGGAAGGATTGGATGCGTTTGATGTTAGTAAATTTTGCTGTTCCCCACAGTTCAAGTCCGTAAGTCCAGATAGGTTTCAGTATTGTCTTGTAGATCAGTAACTTTTTTTCAATGGAAAGTTTTGATTTTCTGTTTAGTAGCCTGTATAGTTGTCCGTATCGTCGATTTAGTTCCTGTCTCTTAAGTCTAGTATGAGGGTTCCACGTTAGTCGTCTGTCTAAGAGAAAGCCAAGGTACCGGACTGTGTCAGAAAGGAAGCTGAATGGAATTAAAGTGTACTGGTGGACAGGAACTGCATCGGAGCGTGAAGGTGATGTGTTGGCATTTGGATTCGTTTACTTTAATATGCCATTTATTACACCAGTGCTCAATCAGGGAGAGGTGTCTTTAAAGGTTTAAGGATGCTATATCAGGATCTGAGTCGGATGATGGAATGGCGGTGTCATCAGCAAAAGTTGCCAGGAAGGTATCGGGATGGACAGGGGTATCGGCGGTAAAGAGGATGTAAAGGACGGGACTCAATACGCTACCTTGAGGAACACCTGCCTCAATTGGATAGTAATTCGATAATTCATTACCGCAGCGAACTCGGAAGGTACGATCTGAGAGGTAGGAACGGAGGACAAGGTATAAGGACTGAGGAAGATGGGTTTTCAGCTTCAAAAGAAGCCCGGCGTGCCATACCCGGTCGAAAGCTTGAGCTATGTCCAGAAATGCACCCGAGCAATATTGCTTGCTTTCCAATGCTGCGGAAATATGATCGACCACTCGGAGTCCTTGTTGGACTGTGGAGTGTTGTGACCGAAATCCGAACTGATGGGAAGGAAAATTTTGGGATTCTATAAAGGGTAGGATTCGTTTCAGGAGGATCTTTTCAAAGATTTTTGAGAGAATCGGAAGTAGGCTAATTGGTCTGTAGGGCGTTGAGGTGTTGGGAGGTTTGCCTGGTTTCGGAAACAGGGTAATAGTGGAATGTTTCCACAAAAGTGGAAAGTGGGTGGTTCTTAGGATGGCATTATATAAGTAGGTGAGAAATATAACAGCTTTAGGAGGAAGTTGTCGAAGGATTTGAGAGGTAAGGAGGTCGTATCCAGGAGATTTACGGAGAGGAGTTTTTGTAAGTGATTTTTGACCTCAGAAGGATTAACTGCTTTAGGGGGCAATGAAAGTGAAATGGGTGATGTAAGGAATTCTTCTACTGTTGTGGTATGGGTGAAGTTGGATTCCGGATGAGAGGTAAATGTTCTGGAGAGGTGTCTGGCGAATTCCTCAGCTTTATCTTCATCAGACGCTGCCCAGGAGCCATCGCTTCGACGGAGGGGATGGGAAATATGATGGGATTTTAGGATTTTGTTGGTGATCTTACATAGGGAATTGTCATGAACAGAGAGGGAAGTAAGGTAGGAGTTGAAGGATTGGGATTTGAAGGTGGCCAATTCCTGCTTTAATTGTTTACTGTAAAAATTATAGGAGCGACGATCGATGGGGTGTCTAGTACGTTGCCATAATAATCTGGAGCGGCGTTTGGTATGGATTAGGTATATGAGGTGTTGAGGTAACTTATTTTTCTTGGGGGAGTTCTTGAGGAGTGGTTTGGAGAGGAAGCAGTCCAGATTGCTTGTTGGATAGTGGTGATGAAAAGGTATATGGCATTGTCAAGGTTATCTGGGGTTTTTAGGTTTATTCTGAGGTCAATTTTATCGGAAAGAATTTGGTGAAAGAGTTTCCAGTTAACTGGGCCTCTAATGAAGGACGGTGGAGAAGAGTTAGGAATAGGAGCTAGAGATAATTGGAGTAATAATGGACTATGATCTGAGGATAGTTCGGCAAGACGGGTAAGGGAATGATTGAGGAAACCTAAGCCACTGTGGATGAAAAAATCAAGGATATCGGGATTGCGGTTAGGATCTGTGGGTCAGTAGGTAGGTGAGTTAGGAGGAAGGATACTGAACCGTTGGGAATTGAGTGCAAATAACAATGTTCTGCCACGAGAGTTCGTGGTTCTAGAACCCCATTGATGGTGTTTGGCGTTTAAATCTCCACCCAGGATGAAATGATGTCCTAAGGAGTTGAGAAGAGAACTGAACTGGATATTGGATATGGATCTGTTAATATACCAAATTATGGCACAAAAAGTTGCGAATACCCACACTGAATTGGATGTGATAATGACACTATTTTAGTAATGGTTTTTAAACTGGATTATTGGTTGAGATTGAATTTCATACTATAAAAATCCTAAATTGTGTATATTACATCTTAAACATGCAAAAGTCACTGTTTTTGTTTAATTTATGTTATCAGTACCTGGGAAGTTTGAATCTGTGTTGTGTGCTGGTTGTGATAAGATGTACCCTGCTCAGTGCTATATATTTTTACTTGGTTTACTTTTCATTGGAAAGATTTTAAATGTCCCAGTTATTTTTTTTTTTTTTTTGTGTAACCTTTCTACATTATGAGCTTTATTTTATGAAAAAAGAATATTCACAACACTACAAAACTAATGAGTTATTTATTTTTTTAGATCTTATTTTTATTGAGTAAAAAAAATACATTTTGCCTCATTTAAGGGAATTGAATATTTGAGATGTATGAGACTCATTCATACCATATACACAAAAACCAAAAAAAAATTATAACACCAGAAAATAAAATTTAGTAAACAGAAGAGATGAAACATAAGACAACATTAAAAAAAACATATTCATACTTATTTACAATATTTACATTCAGCCGAGAGAGCTCCAAGCTGTGCCCTTTCCCCCATGTGTGGAAGACAAGGCAAGACTCAAAGAGATTCTAGCGCTTCTCCCTGAGCACCATCACTAAGATGGGTATCCAGTGGAGACTGACAGAGGGCACTAAAGCCACATACGCTCACGACTTGAGTGGAGAAGCTGGCCATTGCCTGGACTCCAGTAACATGTTTACAAAACAACTGAAGGTCACTGCTGTTTCAACCTTCGAGGAGGATTGTAGGGATGACGAGCTGGATAAGGATTGTTCTAAGGGATTAGGATGATGGATTGGGTTCTGATGAAACTTTGAGAATCGGGATGGAATAACGTAAAGACATAAGGGATCTTAAGGTCATGATGTAGAATTTTTTTTGCAAGAGCATTGACTATTGTACGAAGGACTTTTGATTGGAAGGATTTCATGCGTTGAATGTTCGAAAATTTAGCTGTCCTCCATTGTAAATAACCTAATAAAGTTTAAATTGTAAATTATTTGTTTTAGCGGGAATTGGGAATAGCCTTCCGCTTTATATCGGGGAACTAGGTTATTTACACTCGTAAATATTTAAAAAAAAACCCAGCACTGGATATAGACTTTTTTGAGGGTGTTGAACTGTCGTTGGGAATTCGGGAACCTAATCCTTTTGTGACACTGAGTGAGAAGAAACACTGTTTGAAATAGTAATAGTATAATTTCTGATCATCAGGATGCCTGGTTCTTTGCCAGAGGGTCTTAGATTGGTGTTTGGATTTAATAAGGTGAGTAAGGTTTTGGGGCAAGGGATTCTTTTTAAGTTTTTTTTTAAAGGAAGTGGTGAGGATGCAGTCCAGACTGCTTGTTGGATCAAGGTGGTGAAGGAACTCACTACACTATATAGGTCTTAAGGGGTTTTTAGGGACACTCTGAGGTCTATTTCATCTGTTAGGAAAGATTCCAGTTGACTCGTCCTCTGATGAATGATGGTGGAGATAATCTGTGGATAAGAGATGCGGAAAGAGTTAAGTTTAGCAGACTCTGGTCTGAGAAAAGGTCATCGAGCCGTGTAACAGAGAAATTTAGCGGCCCTAAACCTTTGTGAATGAAGAAGTCAAGGAAGTCGGGATTACGGTTAGGATCAGTTGGCCAGTATGTAGGAGTATCAGGGGAAAGGATATATCTATTGTGGGAATTAAGTACAGACAGCAATGTTAGCCTGCGGGAATTTGTTGTTCTGGCTCCCCATTGCTGATGTTTGTCATTAAGGTCTGCACCAATAAGGAAATGGTGTCCTAAGGAATTTGGAAAAGAAATGAAGTTAGGTTCAAGGACGGTTATTTTAGGTTGAGAGTATGCTGCGACAACTGTAACAGGAAAACGTGAGGTTTGGATTGTTATTGTTGAGGTTTGTAGGAAATTATGAAGTAGTAAAGAATACAAGTATTAGGATAGTGACTGATGGATGATGGCAGCAGTGCCACCATGTGCTGTTTCATCAGGGTGGTCAGTTCGATAATTCTTGTAACAAGTTATGTTGAACTGTCATTTGTTAGCTAGTTGGGTCTCAGTTATTATGGCTATGTCAATGTTATTTTCCTGTAGAAACAAAATAGTTCGTTGATGTGGTTTCGAACACCATTCGCATTCCAGAGGAGAATGGAAAGGGCTTTTTTTAGGACATTAAAGGAATTCTTGGTGGTGGGATGAGATTAACTAAGACATTTGTAAGTAGGAAGATGAGCGGGGTGATGAGGGATTTGATCTCGGAGAGGAATGATGTAAGGAGGCTGGTAAGGTCATTGTAATTGTTAGGGGGAGAACTGAGGAGATTTGTGAGGGCTGAACTTTTGGGTATTCTTATGTTGGGGTGGTGGATCAATAGGTTGTTGTTGAGTTTGCAGCAGGGCCTGAGGTTGAGTTGATTTTTCTATTTCTTCTAGTATTTCAACATAGGACACTTAATTGTTCACAAGCCTTGTGGATTGCCTTGGTGGTTGTGGAGTCCTGGAGGTCTCTTCCTGTCTGAGTGCTGCCTGTGTTCTTGATTTCAAGATTTTATAAGTTTGGCATCCCTTGTAAGTTTGCTGGGTGGTTTAGATGGCATAGTGCGCCCACTGTAGGACTTGGTGCATTCCTCAGACCTGTGTTGCTGTCCGCACGTCACACATTGAGGTAAGCGGTGGCAATAGCTTCTAGTATGGCCATAAGATTGACAATTATGCCATTGTTTTATTTCCCTGTTGGTGTATGGTTTTTCAACCACTATACTGGTATAGTACATAGGAGTTAGTTTATAAATATTATCGACTCCTGGAGTGCGTTCTAGGTCTACAAAAAATAGTTGTAGCGCTATTTTGTTATTTGTACCAGGCTGTTTTTTATTTTCTTTATAAATGTTAACAATTTGGCGGATATTGAATCCTAAAGCCATCAATTCTTCCTTGATTTCATCATATGGAGTTGAAGGGTGGAGACCTCTCATCACTATTCTTAATGCACTCTCTTCATATATCTGGTATGTCTGAAATTCGGCCTTTGACTCCGTTAAGTATTTAACAATTTTTTCATATGTTTCCGGAGAATCCAGCATTAGTTTGGTGTCATTGGTTCTACTATGGCATACATATTTATCATTGTCAATTAAGATGCTGGCAGAATAACGAAACATTTTTAATATTTCTGACAAATATTAGAGGTGGTTTTGGCTCTCTGAGGCTTGGTGCTGCTTCCATTGTATCTTCTGATGATAGTAGCTGGTATGGATTTGTGATGAAAAAGAGAGATTCATCTATTGTTTGGCTAGAAGAACCAGGTTGCGTATCATTATTGGTTTCAGTTGTTCTGTCAGGTGTTGATGATGGTGTTTTCCTATTGGAACGCCTTAGTCTTTGTTCTACAGGTAAGTTTTTGAGAGCTGTTATTACCTAAGCTTCTCGATCTTTTACTTTTGCTAGACATTATCATGTGATAATGCATTAGGATAATCTGGATGAAAAAGTAAAATAGTCTGGTGCATAGGAGTATTACTTATATCTTAGAGAAATATCTGAGCACCACGAGAGACTACCTCAATTTATTAAGGTTATTTTAGTTTCTCATACATATGTACAATTTACTTGTTCTTGTTTTTCTCTTTTCTGTATTTTTATCGTAAGTCAACTTTCATTGTAAATATACAATTTAATTGTAGCCACACAGACATATAATCTGTATTCATATTTTGTTCTTAAGGGACAACAGTCCCAGAATAATAAAACATTTTTTTCATTTCATTTCATAAATAATTACGTAGACTGATGGAAGGCCGTGACCCACCTCCTCGGGCAGCTGTCCGGCAACTGGCTGAGTGGGGGGAGACTGCTTATAGATAACAATATAATAGAGAACCTCTCCACCTAAATCTATTGTTGTTACCACTGTTCAATAAACTTGATAAATAAGTGATTACTCATCGTGTTTGTGTTCATTTGATGTCAAATTGTTAATTGTTCAAATATCATTGTTAATAAACACTAAAATTCATTTAATCACTTGTAATTTAATAACTTCTGGGAGACGATTGGGAGTTTGTAAGAAATTAGCGCATACGCAGGACTCCGTGGGTTATTAATGGAAACTTTATGCGAGAGATATGGTTGTTGGGCAAGAGGAACACTGCTATAAAAGGTTTCCATGTAGTTCGCATGTCCAGAAGATAGTCATCGATCAGGTGACAAAGAACTTTTGTAGAGAGTCCTGTTATAAAAATTATAAAATTAACTCCTTAATATTTATTTGTTGTATAATACATTTAAATAGAATATAATTAAGATCATGAATATTACACAAATAAAAGAGAAAGAACATACCTTGAGTTCAGAATAAATCTACAACTGATAGCTTCCAAGTGGTCAGAAACCAGAACGACTGAATTGAATGAGCTCCAGAGGACTAATGAATGCACCGAACAAGCCAGAAGGCGAATGGTAGAAGCAGAGCTTGCTCCTATCTCTTTAAGTGACGACATCCAAGGCGGGAAGGCAGGTATACCATCCGCAGTCAAAGTGTTAAAGATAAAATTTTTGAAAATGATTCTCAGGTCAAATACGCATTTTTTGAACTGATTTCTTCACAAAACCTGAATTTTTCAGTTCTGGGATTGAAAATTTGATGACACATTGGGGAAAATGAATAGAAAATGAGGGTAAATATTTTGAATTAAAATGTATTGATTTCGTAAAGTTGTTTTACTAAGTAACGTTTCCTATGAAAGCTGACATTTCATGTGAAACGACCCAATAGATTGATTTACTGTTATTACACTGAACCTTTTCATGATATTAATTCATAATTTTTGACAATTCATATATTTGAAAGTAATTTTTTCATGTATATTGTAATTTCTTGGTTCTTGATAATTTCCTATTACTATCCTTATCCCCTTTTTAATTTACTCTATTATAATTTGTGGTTCCTTGGTTTTATTTTTAAACTTTCCTAATACTGTTTATTCACTCCAAAACCACTAATGCTCGTAGAGGAACAATGCTATTTGCTCTTAAAACATTTGAATTGAATAAATTCTAAACTTAAATCCTTGGGTCTTCATAATTTTAACAATGTGTATTTAAAATTTTATGAAAAACAAACCAATATTATGTACTGATTATATATTATAAGACTTAATTTTTAATAATGTTCAAATATTTCAATTTTATAGGTGACGGCCCAGGAACTCAGAGAATGGCTCATACGTTGTGTATTTCTAACTGACGTTTATGAGTCAGTTATGAAAGTTACCTTCAACATGGAAGTTGAAGAATTGAAACCGATACTGCCAAAAGCGGATAAATATTCGGTATGTTCTGAAACTTTTTTTTTTTTTTTTGTCGGCATCACAGACGATGTAGATCTTTTACCACCTTAAAAAGCCTGCTCCATCTCTGCCTGTCTGGGGCTATTTCTTTCCATTTATCTATACGCAGCTCAATTGTATCTTTGTTGATTCTATCTATCCATCTGCTTTTTGGCCTTCCATTTGGTCTTTTGCTTTCTATTGAGGCATTCATTGTTACTTAGATGCTTCCGGATGGATTGCTATGAGCTACATGCCCCACCCATCTTAACCTCCACGCCTTCATATCATGGGATATTGATTGGGGTCTTTCTTCTCCATGTGTTAGTACTCTGATCTCAGATCGCTCCTGTTATCATGCGAAGGATTTTCCTCTCAAATCTTTCAACACTTTTTTCTAGGGTGCTGGTTAGTGTCCAGGTCTCACAGCCATATATTAGAACTGGCTTTATCATAGCATTATTCACCCTTAGTTTCAGATTTTTCGGGATTTCAAAACCTTTGAGAGTGAGAAGAAAGCTGTTTGTGCTTGTTATACGCTGGTCTATTTCTGCCTGTTGGTCATTCATTGAGGTTATTGTGGAGCCGAGGTATTTGAATTTTTCTACTCTCGGGAATGATTTTCCTTCTACGCAGATCCTGTTATTGGGGTGGAATTTTCAGCTTATTATCATATATTTTGTTTTGTCTTCATTTACTTGTAGGCCAATCTGCTCTTATCAGTGTTGTGAGTTTCTCAATGTCTTCTTGATTACTTCCAAGAACAGCTATATCATTTGTGTATCCAAAGATTTTATGATTCATTCCGACGTGGTTCCCTCCTATAGAATTCTATAGAAATTATGTGTCCTGATATTTAATAATATTTAATTGTTTTAAAAATACTGGGAATTTTTTTAACTGTTTATATAATAAACAATTATTGTTAGTTTTTTGTTTAAACTATTGTTTTCTCTTTATATTAGGTTTAAAGTATTGCAATATTATAGGTATTGATATCATTTTTAAAAACAAAATTATGAAACTAATAAATATTCAAGTGTACATAGAAAATTAATATTAAGAATTATTCATTTTAATATTATTTTATATTACAATATATTGTTTTATAATATGTTTCATGTAGGTGTGATTGTTTTAGAGTATGCTGACCATTCCTATGGTTCTCTCTTTTTCACACCTCATATATCCTTACATGAAGAAAAATTGGAGGCTGCTCTTTTCTTCATTGACTGATCCACAGTCTTGGCATAGGTTATGTGCTAAGGTTGCCAAGCAAGGACCTACCATTGTTCTTATTGAAGATGAAGCTGGTTCATTATTCGGAGGTTTTGCTTCTCAGTCTTGGAAAACAAGCCCCAATTTTTATGGTATTGTATTAAATATAATTTCATTAAAGGCCATAAGTTCTCAGCCTGTGTTTCCCAGAAAATAGGGTAACATATTAAAGATATTTAATGCATTGGGTTGTCCAGAAAATAATGCAGGATTTTGTGTTTTCTTTAAAATACCTCTCTATATAACAAACTTTATGTTTACTGTTTACTGGATTATTCATTTGTATGAATGTCAACACCTATTAATCCTCTTACAAACGATAATGTTTGTTTACCCCTGTAGCATTTTGTTGCTTACAAATAATTCAGTCTTTATTAAGATGTCAACACATGATTTTCGTATAATTTTGTTTTGTAACAGTAGATGTTCTGGATAGTGGCTTGACAAAGGAGAAGTAGCAGAACATTTTCCAAAGCCCCAACTCATCAAAAAAAGAAAATGGTTACTGTTTGGTGGGCTTCATTTGGTTTGATACATTACAGCTTCTTAAATCCTGGAGAAACCATTAATATTGAATCTTATTGCAACCAAATTAATTGGCAATAATCAAGCCACCTTTGGTCAATCGGAAGGGGGCCCATTTTGTTGCATGACAACACCCAGCCACATGTCTCACACGTGGTCACAAAAATTGTTAAAGCTTGGATATGAAACTACTACATCCGCCCTACTCTCCGGACCTCTCGCCTACGGATTATCACTTTTTTAAACACCTAGACCACAACTTATATGATAAAAATTTTAATGGAAAAGGGATTTAGAAAAAGTGTTTGGCGTTTAACAATTCTAAAGATGGGAAATTCTATCCCAAGGGAATGGAAAAGTTGCCAACACGTTGGGAGAAATGTATCAATAGTAGTGGAGACTATTTTGATTAAATAAAACAGTTGTAAATCTTTCTTTTTAAACCAAAATATGGACTATCCAATAATATTAATTAGACAATGAAAAAATAAATTGACTTAATCATATGTGAAACAAGGTTGGGAGCTGCCACCTTATACAAAGAATTAATTAACTTATTCTTATTAATTAATTCTTATTAACTTAATTAATTGATTATTCTTATAATGATATTACTATATTGGTGATTTTAAACTTCAGGGTTAATTGTAGCATCAATTTAAGATTTTTTGGCCAAAAAACATATGTATTTTTCAGTTTTTGGTGTGTTAAATTTGTTCTGAATAGGTTCCTTTCTGATTAGAATAACCATGCATTCAGTTTCATGAAAAAGAAATATTTGTGTTGAGAATAAGTATCTAAATATCTTGCAAGACCACATAAAATCCCACAGTTGCTGTTTACCCCAGGTTTAACAAATATTGTATTTTGTAAATTTTTTAAGAATTGGCATTTCCTAGGTTGAAAGATTTGTTATAGGAAGAAATTTATAAAATTTATTATTTAAGGAAAAATATTCCTGTTTACCCTTTAATGAAAAAAATAATGCAATCTGAGCTACAAAATATATGTAAATTACAGTTATACAATTTGAGCAACGAGTAGTATAATTAAATGATTCATAAAATGGGGGTTAGTCTGCCGTTAAGTGGACAGCGGGTACTCCCCTAGGTTTTATATATATGTATGTATATGTATATATATATATATATATATATATATATATATATATATATATATATATATATATATATATATATATATATATATATATATAAGAGATTTTAGAACTTTTTGACTCAATTTACAACAATAGTTTTTCACATCTGAATATTTTAACAATATGTAATAATTTAAATATTAATAAAACAAACATCAGTTTTGACTGACTTCCTATATACAATATATATATATATTATATATAGGAAGTCACTGACTGTATATATATATATATATATATATATATATATATATATATATAGAAAGTGACTGACTTCCTATATACAATGTATATATATATATATATATTGTATATAGGAAGTCAGTCAAAACTGATGTTTGTTTTATTAATATTTAAATTATTACATATTGTTAAAATATTCAGATGTGAAAAACTATTGTTGTAAATTGAGTCAAAAAGTTAAAAAGTTCTAAAATCTCTGTAAGTTTTTTGTTGAAATAAAAGTGAGTTTTTTTTTTTTCAATCAGAGTACTCAAATTTATTTTATTTGAACCTAGAGATCAAATGTAATGGTTAGTTATATATTGATTCCTAAAGTGACTGAATCACTTGAGTCACTGAATAGAAATGAGACTGATGACATGTGGGTGACACATGATAAGGTGGACACGACAAGAATAAAAAATTTTATTATGAGTAGACGCATGCAATTGGCATAAATGAAAAGGACAGGTACATGATGGGTATTTAGACTTGAAAATGGCTCGACAAGCCGAAACGTCTTAATTGGGATGTCTAGTCATTAAGTTGACAAAATTAAAAATTTGTGTAAAATTGGCTGGTAATAAATAAACTTGAAATTAAATAGTATGCACCGAAGAAGAAGTGAGAAATATTGTGAATTTTATATTTTCTTCTCTGTGCACCAGAGAACTTGGATTTTGGTAGGACACCAGTTGCACCAGCTGTACCCTTATTCTTCTCTGTTATCACAGAGAGCTTAGAAACATTAGCTGATATAGTCTCAGTTGAGCTTCTTGAGTTTTCCTCACAAGGGTCCATCTATGGCCCCTCCGAGTATCTCCCAGCCACTTCCTTCTCTAAGAATTCCATTCCCGATAGTAGTTCCATGCCATGTCTACCCCCTCTTCTTTCAGAAGGCTAATTACAATGGGGTGCGCAAAATGTCCGAAGTGGGACTGTCAATTCGAATTGACGGTGTATTTTTATTTAAGACACCCCCTGCCACTCAGCCATTGCTCGAGCGCCCTCCACCTAGCTTGGGTGTCATAGAATGATCCACACAACTGTCCTCTAAATTAGAGAGCAGAAGTGTGGATCCCCGCCTCTGTCGTTCGCGAATCCCATCGGACTCCCCTGGGAGCACCGTGAGAAGGTGTGTTATGGATAGGGAGGACTGGGAAGTCACAAGCAGTGGGTAGGGCACTATTGCTTGATCATTCCGCAAGGAATGGGGAAGATTGCTGCACCCATCTCCCTCTCCAGCCCTCCTGTTACTCTATCCATTTCCAAGCGGGATATGAAAAATATCTTAGCTTTATAAATATAGAAGCTAATGATACATTGAAAAATATCCAACCTAAGAAATTGCCCTAAGAAATAGGAAATGAGAAGAATGATAAAAATGATGGAATTATAATTCAAAATGTAAATGATATTCAAAATTATACAGTATTATACTGTGGGTGGATGATATCCTTGTTTTTGGAGAGAAATATGAAGTTGAAAAAATTACTCCAGATTTGAAAAAAGAATTTAAAGCAAGATACTTGGAGAATTTAAAATGCTTTACTGGCATTGTGATAAACTTCTCAGAGGAAAAAATTGAAATTAGGCAATGACAACTGATCCAAAAAATTATCAATAAATTTAGACTACGGAAAGCCAAATCGAGTCCTACACCAATGGAAAAAAAAATTAGAAGTCAAAGACTCTGATGAAGTAATAAAGGTTCCCTATAATGAATTAGTCGGGAGTTTTATTTATTCATCCCATATAAGTTACCTGGGCATTACATTTGCTACATCTTTTCTAAGAAGATTCCTGGACAGACCTACTAAAAATGTATGGAATACTGAACGAGTTTTGCTGTATCTAAAAGGAACAAACAAGGAACCGAGAAGATATACCCAAGATCGTTTGCTACTCTGATGCGGATTGGGGAGGATACAGCATAGACTGGAAAAGTTGTTCTAGAATTGCAGCCTATCGTTGTGGAAATCTCATATTATGGATATTTCGAAAGCAACAATGTGTGGCCCTGAGTTCTTCGGAGGCTGAGTAAGTGGCTTGCAATCTGGCTGGAGCTGAACTTTTACACCTGAAAGGACTGTTGAGTAAATTTTACCCAGGTGAAGGTGAGGACATTAAGTGTAGTTTACTTGTTGATAATCAAGGTGCTTAGAGTATGATTAAAAACTATGAAATCACTAGACGCTTGAAACATGTAGATGTTAAGTTTCATTTTATAAAGTTTCATTATCTAAAAATTTAATTAGTATTGAATATGTAAATACAGCTTCAAATCACCTTCAAACTATACTAAAGATACCCCACTTTTAGAAAAAATAATTTTAATAAACTTTAAGTAAATTCCAAACTGAATTCAAATTTTCAGTTGAATTCCACATGTAAAATTTATGAACCCATGGATCTCTGATTAAATATAAGGCTCCCATCATGGTAAGGTATTCTGAACTTCCAATTCTTTAATGGCAAGAATACCACTTTGTTTGTGCATATCATTTATTTTCTTACTATATCTTTCATTTCTTTTCTCAGGGGATGAATGCTCTTTTTTATTTCGGCTGAGACCTCATATGGCATTGTACTCACCAACTGGCTATAACCAGAACTTTCAGTACATGAATCATGGAGCTACTACTCTTCCTAATGGAATGGTGATTTATTAATAATATTCTAATGATAATCTTCAATCATGACTATAACCTTGGAGTCTTTTCAAAATACCTTGTCTTCTTTTGTGGTTAATTTAATGCTCTTGAGTCTGAAAATAAAAATCTATAAACTACAACTGTAATTTTAATGTTTTGTTTAAACCGTTTGTGCTTGTTTATTTTTATTGTTAATCATTATTTTTGATGATAATTTTTTGAAAAATAAAATCAAATTTTCACTGCTGATTTTATCAACTATGGTATTAGTAATAAAATTTCTTTTAAAAGTTATTTCATTTTGTAAATATAAAAGAGATTTGTTTATCATATTGAATTCCACTTGTAAAGTTTATGAACCCATGGATCTCTGATTAAATATAAGGCTCCTATCATGATAAGGTATTTTGAACATCCAGTTCTTTAAAATGGTGCTTTACTGTTTCATTGTAAACCCCTGTTTGACCGAAAATATTCAGAGTCATAGAAGTGGTTTGTGCATTATCATCTCATATTCTAAATCTAACTTTATTACACGGTGGGCCAGACCCCCTTACCGTGCCCCCCCCCCCACATCCCTATAAATTGCATATCGTTGTGTTCCTTGTCACAAATTATTAAAAAAAAGCCAATGTTCCCACAAAAAAAAGTGAATGCACTGCCCCAAAATGGCGTCCAAAGATGGCGGATTGACGACTTTGACTTTAGTTAGTTTTTTGGTCACTGAGAATCAGCATTTAACTTAATTTCCTCATAGTTGGTCTTTTATTAAAGCTGAATAGTCATAGAATAAGAAAACGTGAAGAAATATTTAAAAATAATTGGCTTGGGCTACGAAAAACACCTGTAAAGTTAAATTTTTTTTCAAAAAAATTTTCAAGTTACGAATCAAGCGTCGTTTGTAATTAAACGGCCTACAACAACGCAAAACGTGTTGAAATAAAACATCTGGAGAATATATTTCTCTTTCTAAAACGCTGATTATTTTTTAAAAAATTTTAAACAGTTTCGTAGAAAATGTACTTATGCGGCAGAAAAGTGGTACTGGCGTGGGTGCCTACAGGCCTCTACCACACCATTCAGTACACATAAATGGCTTAGTTATAGTGATATAATAACATTTTTGGTACATTATATTGGTTTTATTAACGAACAAATATTAATGCAATAATTTAATCGTAAAAAAAAAAATTAATTTAAAAAAAAATTGTTTTTATTTTTATTTAATTTAAACTACTTTATACGTAGGTCGTTTAAGAAGACCTCAATTGTAAAAATGATATAATGATAATAATAAAACTTAATTAAAAATACATTGCTAAATATCTTGATTTTTTTTTATTTAACGTTTGCAATTTAACACTGTGTTTTGTATATTTACTGATTCTTAGAGGTAATTAAAATTTTTATATATATCCCAGGAAATGAGTCATATTAATACCTGTTTTATGAACTAAAATTATATATACCTAATCTGAACTATATATAATGAATAGTTACCGGGCTGTTTAGTAAAACTCATATATCACTAATTAAAAAAATTAATTTTTATTTCCTTTATTTTGTGCAGAAGTTGGACTATATCATAAATAAATAAGAAATTTAATATTGAATAAATTATTCTCTCTGCACAAAGAAAGATAGAAAGGGTGACACTATAAGTTCTCCTATAAAACAGAACTGATTGTTTGTTTTTGGTATCAAAATGAGGAAAAACGCGAAATTGAACCAGAAAATTGGAAAAATACATTAAGCGAACGAGAAAGGAAGTGCCAAAAGATAAAAAGGACCAGTATCCATTATATAGCTAAATGAATGTTTAGTAGACAGATGAACAGAATATTTCAAGATGCTGCTAAAAAGGGGTCAATTGCAGTTTGGATGACATTAAGTGAACGATGTATGTTTATTATGGTGAAAACCATTTCATATTTGATTGCTGAAGGTGCACATCGGGACTATCTTCACTTTGAAGCAGGATATAGAGAGGTATATCGAGAGTTATAGCTCATAGCTCTCCTTCTGTTTAGTGCATTTGTAAAAGATTTTTTAAGGAATCTAAAAGGAAAACGAGCTTTTCTGAAAGACAATTAGATATTAGCACAATCCAAAGTGTGAGGCACTAAACAGATAGAGAGCTATTTTTCTTTTTATATGGACTTCTCTATAACCTGCCTTAAAGTGAAGACAGACCCAATTTTCAACTTCTCTTCCAATGTGCAACTTGAGTTTCTTAATTCATATCGCTCTGGCAATCGACAATACTTCTTATTCCAGCTTCTACGATTCTTGAGTATAATTTGTTTGGTACACTAAACAGGAATGGATCTTGATGGGTATTACATTTCCTAGTATCTCCTTTCTTGTAAAGGTAAAAACCACAGTCCTTTCATATCATTTTCTAATATACTTGTTGCCTATGTACGCTCAAAACTGTGCGAAGCATTTCGGTTTCGCCCTTTCCATTTCTTCGTGCAGAGAGAATAATGCATTCAATATTAAAATTTCCTACTTTTTTATGATATGGTACAAATTCCGAATAATTTATTCCGCAATTTCTGCACAACAATGAGCTATAGCTAATATAAGATTCCTTAAAAAATCTTTTGCAAATGCACTAAACAGAACTATGAGCTATAACTTTCTCGATATACCTCTCTATATCCTGCTTCAAAGTGAAGATAGTGCACCTTCAGCAATAAAAAATAAAGAGGTTTTCACCATAATAAACCTACATCGTCCACTTAATATCATCCAAACTGCAATTGACCCCCTTTTAGCAGCATCTTGAAATATTCTGTTCATCTGTCTACTAAACATTCATTTAGCTATATAATGGATACTGATGTCCTTTTTATCTTTTCCAGGTTTTTCACTTCCTTTCTCGTTCGCTTAATGTATTTTTCCAATTTTCTGGTTCAATTTTGCGTTTTTCCTCATTTTGATACCAAAAACAAACAATCAGTTCTGGTTTATAGAAGAACTTATAGCGTCATCCTTTCCATCTTTCTTTGTGCAGAGAGAATAATTTATTCAATATTAAAATTTCGTATTTATTTATGATATAGTCCAACTTCTGCACAAAATAAAGGAAATAAAAATTATTTTTTTAATTAGTGATATATGAGTTTTACTAAACAACCCGGTAGCTATTCATTATATATAGTTCAGATTAGGTGTATATAATTTTAGTTCATAAAACAGGTATTAATATGACTCATTTCCTGGGTAGTATATAAAAATTTTAATTACCTCTAAGAATCAGTAAATATACAAAACACAGTGTTAAATTGCAAACGTTAAATAAAAAAAAATCAAGATATTTAGCAATGTATTTTTTAATTAAGTATTATTATTATCATTATATCATTTTTACAATTGAGGTCTTCTTAAACGACCTACGTATAGAATAAAGTAGTTTAAATTAAATAAAAATAATAAAATATTTTTTTTTAATTTTAATTTTTTTTTACGAATATTGCGTTAATATTTGTTCGTTAATAAAACCAATATAATGTACCAAAAATGTTATTATATCACTATAACTAAGCGATTTATTTGTACGGAATGGTGTGGTAGAGGCCTGTAGGCACCCACGCCAGTACCGCTTTTCTGCCGCATAAGTACATTTTCTACGGAACTGTTTAAAATTTTTTAAAAAATAATCAGCGTTTTAGAAAGAGAAATATATTCCCCAGATGTTTTATTTCAGCACGTTTTGCGTTATTGTAGGCCGTTTAATTACAAACGACGCTTGATTTGTAACTTGAAAATTTTTTTGAAAAAAATTTGACTTTACAGGTGTTTTTCGTAGCCCAAGCCAATTATTTTTTAATATTTCTTCATGTTTTATTATTCTATGACTATTCAGCTTTAATAAAAGACCAACTATGAGGAAATTAAGTTAAATGCTGATTCTCAGTGACCAAAAAACTAACTAAAGTCAAAGTCGTCAATCCGCCATCTTTGGACGCCATTTTGGGGCAGTGCGTTCACTTTTTTTGTGGGAACATTAGCTTTTTTTAATAATTTGTTACAAGGAACACAACGATATGCAATTTATAGGGATGTGGGGGGGGGGGGGTGCACGGTAAGGGGGTCTGGCCCACAGACTATATGGACAGTAGTTTTGTCCATACTTCATTTCTTTAGAAGCAGACATGAAAAAGCCATTTCATCTTGTTGTTCCTCATATTTCAGTGTTTTTCTTTATGAATTGATGAAACCCCTTCTGTTCGATTTAATAATTCAGCAACCATTACCTTAGAGGTTTTCCCATTCAAGCATTTAAGATTTCATTTCCTATATTCCACACAGTGTTAGGCAAAATTTATCTTAAATAAAAGATAATAGATAACAAATAATTGATTCGAATTTTCAAATACAAATAACGAATCGTTCTGTTTATCTTTTATCTAGATAATAAATAAATTCAAGTTATCTATTATCTTTTTAGTTGTTATTCGAATTTTTCAAATATATTTCGAATAATTTGACTTTAATTTTATTTTTCTTCTATATAAGGGCTAATTTATATATTTTCAGATCCATAGTTTTTGAAAATGATTTCCATTTTAAGATTACGCCAATGCATCGCGACTTTTTTGGGTTTTTCAGATTTCTTCCATATCAGGGTTTGGGAGATTTGAGATAGCGCCCCCGGGCATCGACTTTTTGTAACTTTTCAGATTAAATCGGTATCGGAATTGACTAATATATTATGGGGGGGCGCTTTTTATGAAAATACTGTCAGATTTGAGATAGAGCATTCAGGCATCGACTTTTTCTAATTTTTCAGATCAAATCGAGTTTGGTTTCTTAGCAGATAATGTGCAGTTTAGCTCCTATGAGTTAAAAAGTGGATAAGTTCATCTACCTGGGATCCCTGATAACAGCGATAAATGACATTACAAAGGAAATTGAGAGGAGAAAAATCATTGCTAATCGATGTCACTTTGGGCTAGGAAGATATCTAAGGAGCAAGTATCTCTTAAGGACAACAAAATTATGGCTGTATAAGCCATTGATCAAGCCGGCTGCTCCTGACGTACGGCTCGGAGTCATGGGTAATATCACGGATGGATGAATGAAGTTTATAGGCTTTCGAGTGAAGAATTCTGCGGCGCATTTATGGACCTAGAAGAGTCGGTCAAACATGCCTCAGGAGAGATAATCAAGAAATATATAACCTCCTTGGTAAACCTGACTGTGATGCTTATTAGGATGGGGACACTGAGGTGGGCTGGTCATTTAGCATGGATGTCAGAGGATGAGATCTGTAGCACGAATGTCAGAGGATGAGATGGCCTGAAAAATAATTAGTGAGGCCATTCATAGTACCAGAAATAGAGGAAGACCGCATCTTGGATGCATGGATGGTGTAGCAGAACATGCCCGAACGATTCTAGGGATCAGGAACTGGAGTACTGCTGCCCAACAGCGTCCAGACTGGCGAAAGTTATTGGAGGAGGCCAGGGATCAGTAATGGTCTGTCTAGCCAATGGAAGAAGAAGAAGAAACTTAAGCTATAGCTCCATTAAAAGTGCATTAAAAAAAGGCAATGCTCAACATTGCCAGAAAATAATTTCTATTCAAAGTAGAAAAGTAAGTGAAAGTTGTGTGTTGCGCACACCAGACTTTTATAGTTTGAAACAGAAGGCGTGAGCTAAATAATTTTTTTACAGAAAAATGTTATGTATTTTCCGCTTTCAGCCTACCCTTAATTTCCTCTTCAATTTTGTTTTTTCTAGTTATCGTAGACCCTAGGTACCTAAACTTCTCTACGTGTTTCGAACATATACCTTCTCTATCGATATCACCGTTTTTATAGCTAACCATATTTTGTCTTATCCGTTTTTATTTCGAGAACCAGTTCTTTGCTGGCTTTCATTAACGTTGTCATATTTAGTTTTATAGTTTCCGTTTCTTCGCTTGACAAGTAATTGCTTTAGGTCGGGAACCTCTGGTCTAGGGCTTTTCCTTAGACATGGACTGTAGCTACTGTTTAATTTTTGATAACTCTTGATCTTTTTCTGTCTTTTCTGGGCATAAGGATTTCAATTGATATTTCGAAAATGTGTGATGCCTATATTTGATGGACTTCTTCGTTAATGAATATATCTGACGATTTCCTTATTCGTAATATGGGTGTTATTTAAAGCAGTTTACGGTATTGTTGTCCGAACTTTTCTTAAACTTAACAGTGTAATTGAAACCGGCTGAGAAGGAAGCATATCACAGTACGTAAGCAACGTTCATTTTCGGTGAATTTGATGATAATGAATGTGACCGTAATACTATTGGTTGTCATACTTTATTAATGACATAGGCAAGTCTAGCCGCTATTCCTTATCACTTGCTATCTCATTTGTTATTTCAATAAACGCTGTTTATCTCCCGTTGTAGAATCCCGGTGGCTATTTAACACCTCATCAATTTTTTTAATCAGGTAATTTTATTGATCAAGAGGTCATTTACCCCCAGCTTGTTATTGATGCATAGTCTTACTGACCCATCACTTTTTGATATAATTATTAAGAGCAACCCCCAATCACTTGTTGGTTCTTTGGTTATTATTCCTCTTCCTTTGCATGAGTCTAATTTTGTTCAACTTTTTCTCCTAGTGCAAATGGGACATTTCTGTCTAGAGGATAGCTAGATTTTATGTTTTCTCAAAGTTGAAGTTTAATAATAAAATTTGGTTATCATCCCATTATTTAGACAAAAATTTCAGGGAAAATGATGTTCATTATCTGTTACATTGTTAATAGTAAAGATATTCTGGCAATGCTTAACTGTCTTTTCTTCTTGGGCTGTATCTTTTAAGTTTATTTTCAAGGGTCTTACTCACATTCGTTAGAATGGGCATAACCGTTAAGTACAACATAAAGATCTTCGTAAATTGCAGTATTTTTATATTTCTCTCTTACTTTGGCTTTTCCTCCAGGCTATTCCAGCCCACCATCTGCTTAAGAACCTACAAGGGACAGATAGTTCACCTGCCCACTACCTGGCATTACCACACAAGCTCCCTTGTGCAATGTACCTAAAAGATGTATTTTTATTTCTTATCATTTTATTGTAAAATACTCAAATTGTAAATTGAAATATGTATATACATTGTAAATACTTTTTATTAATAAAGTTTAATGGTGTTAAGGTATATTAATCTAAGCTTGAAAATAGCTGTGATTGTAACGGCTCTTGATAGCCGATTTAATCATGGCAGAGTCCTCCGAGGAGTTTGATAACCTTTATAACCCATAACCTTTATCCTACTCTCTCTCTCTCTGCATACAAGGTCTGGATGCTGATCCGTCTGCTTGAACTACCACATACTAAGTCTGGAGGCTGATCCCTCCGTTAAAATTTCATCCTCCCACAAAGTCAGGAGATTGATCCCTCCATTTGTGGCTACCATTCCTGCGGAGTGTTAAGGTTGATCCCTTACACCACAGACCAATATTAATTTGGGTACTGGTCCGCCTGACACTTGAGGTCATCCTTCTTCATCCACTGATTCATTATCCCTATATTGAATACTCTCTGTCGAGGCTTTGTGATAACTGTATTAACTGTACAATATCTTGAGACTAGGATCGAAAAATGGTATCTGTGTTTGATTTAAAAGTAATATTTGAAGTTACTTTAGGGTTTTAAATGTTTGAATTGAGTTTCAGGTATGTGTCTATATCCAGCTCTAGTATCACTTCAATGGTTCGATTACTACTTTGATTTTGATTGATATTTGGTATTTTCCCGAATCTCTGATAGTTTTGACGGTGGTTGAACATTAATGTGAACATTTTAATTTCTACCATTATCTTCATAATATTTTTTTTTTGCAAGTATTATTTGTTAGTTGACTCTGTATGTTTGGAACTTAATTGCTTTTGAAAGGGTCGTTATGAAAACTTTTACTAAATGGCCAGTTTTACTACAGGATGCACATGCTAATTTAAAGGAATTTACTTGACACTTTTGAAAAATAATTTGTTTTTCCCCACCGCAAAACAGTAGTTATATATGCCTAAGCTTCTTAAATCTATATGACCTCTCGATTGTCATCTGGTATAGTTTCTTGTATTTAAATTGGCCCTATTGAACATGTTGGATAGAGATGCTTGATCTGTGTAATTTATAGAAATTAATGAATGGTTTTGATACATAATGTTGATAAATAATTTGAATTGTTCAGCTTCCATATTTTCTTTGTGATAATGATATAATGAGATTGCAAATATCGATACTTATAGTAATCCAAAGAGATCACTGAATTTGAAATTATGTCAAATTAACCTAACTGTAAACACTACTATTTACACTACTATTTTACTTCATCACCAGTTGTTATAATTTCAGTAAGGTGACCAAATCAATAAATTTAATTATAATTAATAACTTTTTTTTATTAAACATTGTAACATTAGGCATTTATAACTTTTTTTATTGTTATAATCTCAATTAGTTCCCATGTGTTTTTTTGTACCACACGGTTATAACAGTTTTATATGCAAGAAGTTAAAAATTACCGATAATTGTGAGTAACATAGTTATTTCCTTATGGCTCTTAATACTGAATGGTATTGTCAACAAATGATTGATTTGAATCTAGTATTGTTTATAAAACAACCGGAATATATGATATAATAAATATATCATCACGCACAGCAAAACCAGTGAATGAAAAGATTGAAGTATTCAGTTAGAAAATGTTAGTGTATGGGATTTTCTCGCTTTACTCCTTTGTCCGACTACTATTTATTTGTATCAATGTGACACATACTTACTCAGCAGTGCTTCACTTCTAATGAAAATGGCTTGATTACTAGTTTAGCACTAAAGAAGATGTTCTTTTAACATGGCATTCATAAATTGCCAGAGAGATAAGAAAAATGTATAGCTAGCGATGGCGATTATTTCGAATAAAATATTTTTTTATTTATGCAATAAACATGTATTTTCTATACAGATATTCCAGTTTCATACTTTTGCACCTGGAATGTATAGTATTTTTTTTTTTTAAATGTTTCTGGAAGAACTGTATCAGTTTGTAAAAACTAATGTACTGTTTTAATTTTAGGGAATGGGAGGCCGGCTGGATTACTTCACATTTTTCTTGAGTGAAGACTTCGGCCCTATGACTGTCTCTAAAAGTTGCTCTACTTTCAGGTAAGTGAATCTTACAAAAAATTAAATAAATGAGGAAAAGAGCGACAGTAGCTATTAATTTCTTCATTATAACTTTGAATCCAAAAATTGTCCATGGTATTTTCCATTTGCTGGCACAAACCCAACCTCTAAATATATTATAACCAAAGATATAAAATAAAAAAGTTTGAAATGTTTTTCTAAATTTCTAACTTAAAAAGAAATGAAATCCAAAACATATTGTATAATATGTACAAAACATATATGTAATTTGGAAGATCAGTAATCCAGCTTTCCAACAGTTGTACTGATATTGAATTTGGAGAAAATCCTGAGAAGCTAATGGCTGAAATATAATTCTCCAAGGACCGGTTGCACCAACCGTTGTTAACTTAAATTTTACTAATTTTGATTAGTTTAATACTGGCTAACAGAATTTTAATTGCACCAATGTATATTAGCTTTAACAACGCGTTAAGTTGAAACAACAAACTAATCCTACTTCAGACCTTGATCAAATCTTTAAATGATGTTAAAGTATAACCTTACATACAGTTACTTTTAACAATAAACTAATATTAGCTTCTTCTGAGAATACTAGTGCAGTGTTTTTGTTTTTTACGTTTTTCGAGATGACTGCAAATATGATTTCATCTTATTTCTTCTGAAGAACCAAAAACCAAGCCTCGGAAATCAGACTGTTTTACGGCAACGAGTCGGAACTCGGATAAAGGTATATCGATTCGGAACATGGAATGTTCGGACCCTATTTAGACCAGGCACTCCCTCAGAATTGAAGCACCAGCTAATAAGGCATAAAATGGATATCACCACAATATAGGAGGTGAGATGGACTGTTAGCGGTAAACTAAACAAGGAAGAGTTTGACTTGTTCTACAGTGGCAGCCAAGACAAACATGAATTCGGGACTGCATTTGTAGTATCGAAGCACATGAGATCTACAGTTTTGGACTTCCTGCCCATTAGTAATAGGATATGTAAACTTGGAATCAAAGGGAGTAAGTGTAATATGACTATAATAAATGTACACGCCCCTACAGAAGAAAAATATTATACAGAGAAGGAACAGTTTTATGATGAACTGGAAAGGACAATAGATGCTTGCCTATCTTATGACATGAAAGTTATAATAGGTGACTTCAACGCTCAAGTTGGCAAAGAGGAATTATTTTTACCAACAATAGGTAGAAGTAGCATGCACGACCGGACCACTGACAACGGAGAGCGTATGATAAGTTTTGCTACCGGCAAATTCCTTAGTCGTAATGAGCACAATTTTTCCCTATAAGCAAGCACAGAAAGGAACTTGCACTTCCCAAATGGGGCCACAACTCAGATAGACCACATTCTTGTCACCAGTAAGTACTTTAACAGTGTGCATGATGTCCGGACTTACCGAGGCCCCGATGTAGACTCAGACCATTTCTTGGTGGTTACCACGATAACATGCCACATACATCAGACATATAGAAGAAATTATGACCAGAGGCACAGGTGAGACAAAGACAAAATAAATAGAGCAGAGGTAAAAAGTATTATTCAAAACTGCATTGAAAGAGGGGTTGAGAATATACCAGCAAGTGAAGATGGCAGGAACGTGCAGGAAGCATGGAACAAACTTAAATAAGTAATAGAGAAAGCTGCCGATCAATGCTACAAGAAAGATAGGAGAATTACTCCCACTTCCTGGTATGATTAGGAATGTGAAGAAGTTATAAAAATCAGGAATATTAAGAGAGCAAAATACCTGAACAGAGACACTCGTTGGAATCGCAGAGAGTACCAAGAAGCAAGGAGCCATTCTAAGAAAGTGTTGAGACAGAAAAAAAGAAAAGCCTTTCAGGAAAAAGTGAAAAATGTTGAAGAAGCAAGTCTTAGGAATGAAACAAGAAAGTTCTTTCAGGACGTAAATACTGCCAAAGTCTGTTCTGTGAATGAGTCAGGTATGGTAAGAGATAAGAATGGAAAGCTGCTTGTTGTAGAGAACGAGTTACAGGAAAGATGGAAAGAGCACTTCCAGGGGTTACTCAACCCTACAGATGGAGAAATAGGAAACCACAGAAGCATGCAATCAATAAGAGAGGAAGATATGGATGAAGTCATGCCACCTGATTCGGACAAAATCGAAAATATTTTGGAAAAGCTCAGGAATAATAAGTCAGCGGGATCAGACAGGATCCCTTGGGAATTTCTCAATCAAGGGGGGAGTCGCCTTTCAGATGAAATAACCAAATTAGTAGCAAATATTTGGGAAATAGAAAAACTACCGGAAGAATGGAAAGAGTCCCTCATTGTCCCAATTTATAAGAGAAAAGGAAATGTAATTGACTGCAGAAATTACAGAGGTATCAGCTTACTTAATTCTGCTTATAAGGTATTCTCTATTGCTCTGTATAATCTCATTATGCCATACTTAGAGAGACACCTTGGAGACTACCAGGGTGGCTTTAGGACAAATCGATCAACGATCAATCAAATTTTTGCCCTTAGACAGAGCATGGAAAAAATGAAAGAGTATAATAACTCCATGTGGATGCTCTTCATTGATTTTAAGGCGGCATACAGCACGGTGATTAGAGAGGAGCTTTGTTATGCAATGTATGAATTAGGCATACCAGCAAAGCTGATTCGTTGGCTACCATGGAAGGCACTGTCAGTAGAGTTAAGGTAAAAGGAAGAATTGGCAACTCCTTTCCAGTTTGTTCGGGCCTTAGGCAAGGTGACTCTTTAGCACCACTCCTCTTTAATATTGCCCTAGAGACCATCATGAGAAGGGCAAAATTAAATAACGGAGGAACAATATTCCACAGAATGACCCAACTGCTCGCGTATGCTGACGATGTGATCATTGCAGGGCGATAACTTCAAACAGTGAAGAGTGCATTCAGTAGGTTGGAGAATGAGGCAGGGAAAATGTGGCTATGCATCAACGACAGTAAAACCAAGGTCCTTATTTTAAGGAAGAAAAAGCTTGTCCATCCGCCACAGCACTATGTCTTGGGAAACCTTACTTTTCAAGCTGTATCAAGCTTCACCTACCTCGGGTCCATAATTAACAATAGCAATAATGAAGAGGAGGAGATAGGAGCTTGAATAATGACTGCCAACAGAGCGTACTTTTCTCTAACGAGCCTTCTGAAAAGTAGATTGTTAAGTCGTACAACGAAGTTTAGGTTATACAAAATGATTATTCAGCCAGTTGCAACATATGCGTGTGAAACATGGACTCTAACAAAGGCGTCTGCTGAACGAATAGATCGGTTTGAAAGGAAAATACTAAGACGGATAATAGGACCTAAACTGGAGGAAGGTGTTCCCCGCTTGAACAAGGAGGTATAATCAATGTACGGTGATCTGTCTATCTCCCAATTCGCTCGACTGCAGCGAAAGAAATGGTTAGGACATGTCCTAAGAATGGATGAAGCGAGGACAGCGAGAAGGCTTTATCATGGGAAGCCAGAGGGAGTTAGGTCTAGGGGAAGACCGAAGGCAAGATGGATAGACAACGTGAAAGAAGACTTAAGAAAACTGGCATTTATATGGCACTATCAGGTGCGCAGCCAACAGGGATGACTGGACAAAGGAAATTGAGCAGGCCAAGGTACATGCGTCTGTTGTGCCAATAATGATTGAATGAAGTGATAATAACAGCATGACAACTAAAAAATTATGTAATACATGTATTGTTAATGTTATTAATTAACTATTAATTTATCCTAATTGAAGTGTTATTATTATAGAGATGAACATGGTGCCCAGACACCGAAAGCTACTTGGCAAATAAAGTTGTAAAATATAATAGAGACTGTCAATGGTAAATAAAATTCTGAATTTATTATTTATTTAAACAACTACAATTGAATTTCTTATCAAAATACAGTTATGACATTACTTGTGGATAAATAATTTGCCTAAGAATCGTATTCAGAAGGAATTGGCTCCAAATGGGGCTTAAGAAGGTCCAATAATTTTGATTTTGATACATCAATTTTATCTGGTAGGGAGGGCCCTCCTCCAGTTTTGTAGATTGCCTAAACGTATCGCAATTTTATATTTATAATAATTATAATTGTACTTATATTTACATTATTTAACTACAATAAATATTCACTTTCTAAAAACAAAGCTAACTTCACTTTCACTACTATCATTCTAACCCTCCCAATTGTGTTTAATATGAAATATTTTTATGCATCTACCTTGTCATTTGCATCGTACTTTTTCAATTTTCTCTTAAAATTCACATAGGCTGTCTTCAGTTGAGCAGGTAATCTATAGCCATTGTTGGCAGCATTAAATTCTTCTGCTACCTGCACCTATGCATAATTTTTTTCTTTGAATGTTAACCCATCAGTTTTTTTTTCTATTATTCTGAAATGCTCAGATATTATGGAAAACAATGACTGTTTTTCACTTTCAGTGAATTACTAAATTAAATTTATTAATTTAAAAATTACTCCCTCTTTCTCTTTTTTCCATCTTCTTTAACTAACAATATCACACACGCTTTACAATGTTTACACACAAGTCGATGGAAGGTTTCATAATCTAAACCAAGTTCTAAAAATTACCGTTTTTTTTTTTTTAAATACTTCATAAATATGATGACATTGACTAACTATTTAAAAATTATATGGTGCAACTGGATCCTAATTTTATCATTGTTTAAGTTTTAACATGAGTTAGTTAACAGAGAATATTAACTTTAATCACAAATGTTGATGCAACCAGCCCCCCAGAAAATCAGGTAACTAAACAAAATAACAATGTAAATAAGCATGGGCTATAAATATCCGAAAAGGGAAATGATCAGGGAAGAATAGATTCTGAAAGTAAACAAAACAACCAAGCAAAAATTGAATAGGACTGGAAGATTTCCTAGAACAAACCTGGTGAGAATCAGTGAAGAACTGAGAGAACTTTCTAGTGGTGTCATTAAGAATCGACTTGAAACCGAGTCTGCTAATATTAAAATGTTTTTTCATAGATGTTTTGGATGATAATGCTCAAAATTTTTACAAGAATATCCACTTTTACATTTTATTAATTTAAACATTTTCTTTTTAATTTTTCTAATAACATGCAATTATTTTTTAACTTTCCTCTATTTCCTTTAATATTTTGAACCTGGCAAAAATTTTTTGTTTTAAATGAATGTATTATACTGTTTATAATTTTTACTTTATCTTACCTACATATGAAAATACTTATTTCTACTCAAAATAAAACGGTAAGTGAATGTTTTGTGATATGCGCTAAGAAATTGGTCAAAACTACACCATTTATGAGTACTCAATGATGTTCTGGAAGACTGAAGGCGCTTAAGCCAGTACCACTTTTCTGCCAATTCAGCGTGTTTTCTTAGGAACTGTTTGAAATATTTCAAATTGTAATCAGTGATTCATAAAAAGGAATGATTTCTCCAGATGTTTTATTGAAGGACTTTTTTCAATATTGTTGGCCATTTAATTACAAACAGGACTTGATTTTGAACTTTCGTGTGAACGACTTAAAAAATGTTGACTTTACCATTGTTTTTTTTGTCTAAGCCAATTATTTTTTAAATATTTTTTCATATACTATGATTCTTTGACTATCCAGCTTTGTGAAATGGTCAATTAAGGTGAATCTAATCCATATACTGAATGTCAGTGATAAAAAAAACTAACTGAATTCAGATTCATTAGTCTGCTATACTTGAACACAGTTTTGGGACAGTGTGAGCCCTTTATTTTAGAAAAATTAGCTTTTTAAAATTAATTGTTGCTAAGAACACAACAAGATGCAATTTATAGGGATGTGGGGAGGGGGAGGGTGAATGTACGTTTTAGAGGTCTGGCCCTCTGTGCATGTTACTGAAGCTGATGGTAATTAGGAAAACTAAATTGACTGTAATAAGGTCAATTTAGAGGTCATGATGGGCAAGGATGTTAAAACATGAAGTATAACATCCTTGGGTCTAACAATGCCTGTTCGAATCTGTCCTTTTCAAAATGTTTAAAGTTTTGAAAATTTGCAAAACACATGCGTGATTTTTATTTTTTTACTTAATTATCTGTTTTATAGGTGGCATAGTTCAAATTTTTAAATTAAATGTTAAAGCACACATAAAAAGAAATTAATGTTTTTAAATTTGAAAAAAACCTATTTATTTAATTTTTACTGTTTTCCACTTTTTTAATGCAATTAGTCATCAAAAATTACTGTTATTCTTGTTACTTTTAAATGAACTTTATTCTAACACGTTTTTTTATAATTAATATTATCCAAATTACATACCTTGTGTTCTTACGGATTATTGTTATCTGAAGAATTCGATTTCTTCACTAAATATTATTTTGGCAATTCAATTATTCTATTAATGTTGGTAGTTAATGCAATCAAAATAATGAACTAAAAACTTTATTATAACACTATAACTTTGTCATTGATTAGTACTAAATGATGTGGCAGAGGACTCTAGGCGCCTATCTATGCCAGTGACGCTTTTCTGCTTAAATGCACTTTGTACATAACCACTTCAAATATTTTAAAAAGTAATCAGTGTTTTAGAAAGAGAAACGTATCTCACAGTTGTTTTATTTCAGGGCGTTTTTCGTTATTGTTGGCTATTTATTTACAAACAATGCCTGATTTTCAACTTAAGTTTGAACGACTTGAAAAAAACAACTTTACTGGTGTATTTTATTGCTAAGGCCAATTTTTTAAAAATATTTTTTCATGTTTAATTATTTTACAACTATTCAGCTTTCACAAAAGGTCAATTATGACAAAATGAAGCTAAATGCTGAATCTCAGTGACCAAAAAACTAACTCAAGTCAAAGTCGTCATTCCGCCATCTTAGGACAGTAAGGCCACTTTTTTGTGGGAACATTGGATTTTTTAAAATAAATAGTTACAAGGAAAACAACTTTATGCAATTTTATTATTATTATTACAATTAAAATATTATTATTTATTTTTACCATTTTTATTTTGACTGATCACCCCAACTATCCTTCTCTTCATTATTCACTACAGTCAACCATCAACCCACAATTTTTATATTTTATATTATATTCACGACATATCTTACAATATAAAAAATCTGGTGCAGTGCACGCATCACACAACTTTCACTTACCAACCTCTTCTTAGTAGAAATAAGTATTTTCAGACAAAGGAGAAGTGAAAGTAAAAATTACTTAATTAATTAAATTAATTATATTGATTTATATTTCATTGTAGGTATTTGTATTATTTTAAGGTATTTGTAAGTACCCTTATATATAAATATTTTAGTATTTATATCACTGTAATCTATACAATTAAATATTAAATAATACCAACAATAGCATCTATTAAAACCGCATATGTATATTTACATAATATTGTCGAAGTCCTTATTATATTAAGCTCATGTTACTTATGGAAGCATGTTCTAATTTTTCGGGCGAGCTTGGATGCACTCGTATTCCTTAGATTCCTCAGTTACGACTATTCTCCGTGACGATCTCTTATTTCTCCTTTATTTAATTCTGAAATTCTTTCATATTTTATATTTAACTATCTTTTATATTAGAGATTAATGTGAAATGGTCAATTGTTTCAAATAAAAAAAATTAAAGGTACTTTAGCGGTAGCTAATATTGAAAATTAGCCATTTAAGCCCTGTTAGAAAACATCAACCAGAATAAAAACTAGATTTTATTTAAAACTGCCCAATTTTACACTGATATGATGAATTTAATCAAAATCATTAAAGCTGTTTTCGAGAAAATCGCAAAAATGTGTTAAGCCCATTATATGAAGTGCCACTTCCGGTTAGCCAATTTTGAGAAAAAAGTTGCTGTAACATCCCTAGCAAATAAAAACCTTAAATATGCAATTTCAATTGCGTACGACTTTTCGTTTTTGAGCTAGACTGTAGAACACACAGACCATTTTGTCAGACTTGGTTATTTGGAATCAGGGGACCTCAAAATGTGTATTTCAGTTGAAAAGTCAGATTCAATAATTTTCACGATCGCCATACTTACTCTTACTATATATTTCATATATAGGTAAGTGAAAATAAAAAGAAATTTGAATTACTCGACCTTTTGCAAGGTAACATGTCTAATTTGACTGGTCTATCAAACAAGATATCAAATTCATATTGAATAGAGGTTATAAAGGATAAATTAGTTTTTTCAATTAAATTGTTTTTGTGATTTTATTTCATTTGGTATTTATCAGATAGTATCTAATAATATATATTCTCTTTCAATTGTGTATTTTTTTTTTTTTTTTATAGAGACTATGCTCCTCTTGCTTCTACTACTAATGAATTTAACTTCTCCAAGTTGGAGATATGGGCTATTGCAGACCCTGATGTAGAGGATGATGAATATGTCCGGGTATTTAAATGTTATTTTACCATTTTGTCATTAGGCTATATCCATTTTATTGAGATATTGTATAATGTAGATATACATTTGTTTTCATTAAATTATATCTAAAATAAAATATTTTTGTTGATGGAACACCAGTAGTGGTACCTTATTGTCGAGTATGCTTTACAGTTATTATATATGGAAATACTATAGTAATATTGTCGTCTTTATGAATTCCTAGGGAATTTATAAGAAAACTTCACATTTCCACTTACTTACTTCTTTATACTTATACTTATACTTATTTTATTTCAAGATAACCAAAATTAAATGCATTTATTGTTTTACACATACCATTTAAACTGAGAAATACTTTTAATGGCAATAAAATGTATGCATATGTGGATGGATGTTATGGAGCGATGTGATCTTCAGTTATTTTTCTTTTCTATCCTGATGATGCATGAATTAGGAAAATGTTGACAGGTTTTTTTTTTTATTATTCTTTACCTGCATTTTGGTGAAATAGAGGCTGTGTGAATTTTTTCAATCATAATCTAACATTGAATTTCTGTCTCTTGGTGAGATACTAGTTTACATTAATAATATCTGTTTTTCAGATATAATAATAAAATCTGGTTTTCGACCAGGTTACTCCTCACAATCCGCCATAATTAAAATCATTAGTGATATTCAGTCCGCTATAGATGAAAAAACTAACAGTCCTTGTACTCCTTGACTTTTCCAAAGCCTTCGATACCATTAACCATTCCATCCTCTTTTCTAAATTAAAATCATTATCCTTTTCCAACAGCGCTATTCTTTTGTTTCAGTCTTTCCTCTCTTAACGTTCCCAAGCCGTCACTATCCCTAATCAACCCCTGTCTTCCTATCGTACTCTATCCTGAGGAGTGGCCCAGGACTCTAGCATATCTCCTCTTCTTTTTAGTTCCTATATCAACGACCTCTATAAATCAATCCTCCACTGTTCCCATCACCTCTATGCCGATCATTCTCAAATTTATCTTTCCTTCTCTTCTTCAGAGTTGTATGATGTGTTTGCCAAAATCCAAGATCTAAATCGTATCAGCGCCTGGGCAAACATAAATAGATTAAGATTAAACGCTGATAAAACGCAGGCCATTATCATTGGTTCCAAACCCCTCCTCAAATCCAATACCAACATTTCTATTCTGTATCTAAATAACCATCCCATCACCTTCAGCTCCTCAGTTAAAAACCTAGGCATTTTCATTGACCAAAACCTCTCCTGGAATGACCATATTGCCCACATCTCTCGACAGTTAATTTGTACCCTTATACTATTCCATCGCTTCAGCCATCTCATTCCCATACCCCCACACATAGACTCCTAGTATCCTCCCTCATCTTCCCCCACCTTGACTGTGGCTGTGTTGTGTACGGCAGGATCTAGGGGGAACTCGTGGACAGGCTAAAAAGAATTATGAATAGTGCACACATGTGCCGATGGAGGCGACGGACCCCGCCTCTGTCGTCCGCGAGTCCCATCGGACTCCCCGGGGAGGCACCACATGGAGGTGACAGTAGGCGTTGATAGGGATAAGGAGATCTGGGAACTCACTAGCAGTGGGTAGGGCACTGACGCTTGATCATTCCGCTGAGAGTGGGGGAGACTCCCGCACCCATCTCCCTCTCTAGACCTCCCGTTACCCTAACCATTTGCCATTCTGGTTAAATTTTCATTGTGCATGGCATGGAACAATGTAAACGAGTTTCTATTCCAACATTTATCTAGGGCTCTCCGATATGCTAGTCCCCGTGCGCTTTTGCATTGCTGTAGATATTTGTGCCATGTCTCCTTCTTTGCTTTTCCAATTGCCTTTGGAAACTCTTATTCAGTTCATAATATGCGTTTTTAAAATTTCTTTTGGCACCAGCATCATTTTCTCCTGGAAAGCGACGTCTTGCTCTATAAGTTTCTCGCTTCAGGCTTATGAGTTGTGTGTTCCACCATAGTTGTACCTTTCTCGTAGACTCTCGTGTTATGGGCAACACCTCCTTAACCGCTGTGAAAATTTCTGTTGAGATTTCCACTGCCACTTCTTCTAGTTTCATATTGGGCTCCAGCTCTGTTAGGTGCCATTTAATATTCTCAGCAACGCGTTCCCACTCAACACCTTCCATCACAAAACGTTCCTGACGGTACCGCTTTTCTTGACTGTTTATATTTATTTAAAATAAAACCACCCGGTGATCACTACAAGTCCAATCCTCGACTTTCCAGGAACCAATAAGCTGGCTAATGACAGGTGATTATGATATTTCTCCTCAGCTTCCGTACTACCTGCTACAATTTTTCAGTATGTCTTCCAGTGGGAGTGCGAACTTTGCATGAACATTAATCAAGTCAAACTTAATGCCTGCATAATCTATATTAGCAACCAAGATAACCTTTGCTCCATATCATTAAAAATCAGCAGTGCGCTCTGTGGCGCATTGTGCAATCCACTTCCATTACTAGCAATGGTGCTGTCTTGTGTTTCAGTTCCAGACACCTTCCCTCTCCTAGTAGGAGGCTCCTGAAGAATACCAATATCTATGCTATTTAGTGAGGCCATGCATCTAAATTCTGACATTGCGAGGGTTCTCTTGTTTAGATTGTGTTGGGCTATCCGGATGGCAGGACTGTTATTCATTCTCGTTATATTTTGTCCTAGCCTTTCAATAGCTCTTTTGTATGATGGGCAGTTTTTGTCATTTGTCGGATGGTTAGCTGTGCTCATGACTATTCAATACGCTCATGAATATTCTCCAATAACTGTCTTAATGTGAAGATTAAGTCAGTTGTGGATCTTCCTGCTCTAAAACAACATTGGTAATCACCAATAACCCTCTCAGACCATCTTACCATCCTCTGGTTAATTGCTATGGAGAGGACCTTGTTAACAGACAACAGTAGCGCTATGCCATGATAGTTCTTGCATGTCATCCTATCATCTTTCTCATAAACTGGACAAAGCATAGCTTTGTTCCAGTCTCGGTTTACTTACCTGAGTCCATATATCCTATAGCAATTAATATATCTGGCTTGTCGTGGTTGATATATTCAGCCAGTACCTCGTCAGTACCTGGGGCCTTATGATTCTTCAGTAAAAAAATAATTTCCAGTATTTCCTTCTGATCTGGTGGTACTTCCTCTTCATCATCATCCTCTTGCTCCTCATTCCATTCTTCCTGCTGCTCTCCTGTAGCACTACCAACTGCTACCCTATTTAAATTCGATAAGTCCTGCAGATATCTAACCCATCTTTCTAAGACTTCTTTAATATTTCTCTATAACTTTATAAACTGCAGAATAACTTTATAAACCTTATAAAATGCAGACTTCGGTGCATATCCTGACTTTACATCTTTGACACTTTGGTAAAACTTCCTACTGTTCATTTGATCTCATTCTTCTTGTATCTGCTCTAGTTTCTCTCTCTTCTTAGCCCTCTTTCTTCTCCTACATATTTTTCTTGACTCTGCTCTTTTCCTTTTATAGCTCTCTGCTGAGGTTCTTGTTACTCTCAGTACCAATTTCATTCTGGCATCAGTTGTTTCTTTGACTGCTTTTTCACATTCCTTATCATACCAGTCATTTCTTTTTTTCTGCTGTCTCACCAAGAATCTCAGTTGCCACACTCTTTAATGTGTCTTTAAATGTACAGCAATTCTTCAATTGGCTCCGTTCTTTCCAAGTTCTCAAAGTTGTCCTCAATTTTCCTTTTAAATAAATCTCAGGTCTCTTGTAACTTTTCTCGATTTAAGATCAATTTTCTCTCTCCTTGGGCTCTTTAGCAGGGGGCTACTTTAATTTTATACCTAGTCTTAACAAAAAATGATCTCACTCACAGCAATAACCTCTTAAACTTTGAACATTTTGTATGTATATCCTGTATCTACTATCCACCAATACATGGTCAATCTGATTCCATCTGGAGATAACCAGGTCTCCTACTAGATATTCTTGAGAGCGAAAAAGGTGTCACACCCTCATTCTCCAAGATGCTGCGAAGTCTATCTAGCGTATCCTGGTATGGATATCTCCAGTAATATATGCTGCAGATATATGCTTGCTATGTCTTCCTATAATTTTTTTTTTTTTTTCCTCCCCTTCCTCGCCTTTAAGGCTATACGGGGATTTCCCAGGCCAGGGGGTGTGGGCGGGGATTGAAAAGACTCCCCGGCACTGGTACGCGAACTCGTGACTACTTTAAATCCATTGTTTCATAGATCAGGTTGCCAGGCAATGGCGGTGCTGTGCACACATGTTAGCCTGCTTGGCCACCCCACCCACAGTGTCTTCATGAAATTCATTCTTTCCTATTTTTGCATTACAATGTCCTAAGAACTGCTTCACATCATATCTTGAGATTCCATCAACAACCCTCTCTAGAGTACCATAAAATTCATCTTTCTGTTCCTCTGATTTATCTTCTGTTGGTGCATGCACACTCACCACAGATAAGTTAAAAATTTTGCCTTTCAGTTTTATCCTACATTTTCTGTCATTAACAGTCCTTAATCTATCAATGATTGCTTGAGAGTATTTTTTTTTTTTACCATAAAACCAATCCTCTACAGATTACATTTACTGCCACTATTGATGAGAGTATAATTATTCTTAGTCACTATATTTATGCTATTTTTCATAATTCCTAATTTTTTTCTTCATAATGCTATTTTTGATAACCAACCTTTGTTCTAAACCATATCTTTCCATCTTATTTCCTATAGAGCTACTATATCCATTTTATATTTCAAGACTTCCTTTTGTAGCATCCTACTCACTCCTTACTTCTAACTTTCCATGTTCCAATATGCTTAAGTCCAGTTCCAAGCTTAGGTTGACCTTAATTAAATCAGTCCAGCTATTTCTTCTTTGTGTGTCCATAATGACAAGCTTTTTATGTGAGACTGGGTTGTCAGCCCAGTGTCCAATCCCCAACCTGGAGAACTGGGATTTTTTTGTCAAGGTTTATTCCCTTACTCTCTGAACTTTCATTCTAACCCATAAGGCGATGGGCAATTAGGAAATTGAGGTGTACAGGAAAAGAATAAGAAGAACCATGGGAAGGAATGTGTAGGATGAAGGTTCGAGGTCAATAGGCAGTTGTCCCTTTAATCTAGATGTTATGATGGCCAAGAGTATTGGAGCATTGCCCGTTGTAGCATTCTTATGCCTAGTGACACCAGTTTGAATCCAGCCTGGAAAGAGTTGACTTTTATTTTATGGCAGACCCACGGAATGGAACTCTCATTTCGTGGCGGACCTATGGAATGAAACTCAACCTTCCCACTTTGATTAGTATAGGTTTGGTTGTACCTTTGGAACATCCTTCCAGTATGCCAGAAATAGTAGGTAGGGGGTAATCCAATATAAAAATAAAAAAGTTGTGCCTTTAGTCGCCTTTTATGACAAGCAGTGAGTGCTGTGGGTCTACTCTACCCCTCAGCCCACAGGGAGAAGGGAAGAGGGAGTCTCTATTTTATCTTTTTCAATTATACACAACATGTCGTCCAAATATTTTAGACATAATTTCAGTTATATTTTTTATTCTTTATTACATGCAATAATAATCCATTCATAAATATCTCTGATAAATTTATCAACTTAACTGCTCCCATCTGCATTCCTGTTACATTTTTGTATTTTTTATTATTAAAAATAAAAAAGACAAAACATTTTTAATGCATAATTTTATACCTTCCAAATATATATTTTTGTTTTTAATGTTAATATAGATAGAAAAATAAACTTTATTCTGGGACTTAAAATAACAATAATGAACAAATACAAAAAAAAAAAAATACATATCCGGCCAAAAACTAACTTATTAAAAATTCTAACTGTATATATTGTTTATTTTTTTGTGTTTTATTTTTTTAGTTGTTTACATACTATTATGTAAACAACTAAAAAAATAAAAATAAAATCTCAAGAATACTTATAGTTGTTATGTGGAAAAAAAATAAAAAAAATATATATAGAAAGAAAAAGTAAGTAAAGAAAAAGCATTGATTTTTTACGTTAAAACATAAACTGTTGGCTAACTAATAAAAACTAACACTAAAAATTCTAACAATATATTCCGTAATTTAATTAATAATATGTAAACAGCTAAACAAAAGATCTTCCTTAAGCATAATTATAGTTGAAATGGAAAAGAAAAAAAACCTAAACATACTTATAAATAGAGACCAGATTTGCATGCAGTAAAAACTCAAAATACACATAAAATTGTGTAATTAACACCTAGAAGTGTGCAAAATAATCATTATTATTTAATTTATAATATTTATACGTCAAAATTTTATCAAATCTTGAGTTAAGCGAGAGACATATAAAAATAAAAAAATTAAAATATAAATTCAAAATGGAATTCCAGATTATATTATCTATAATAGAATCATCTATTATATATCAACAAACGACAATAATATATTGTATAATACAACAATAAATTACAATTATCCTAAATCTTAAAGAAAGAAATTAAACAATAATAAGGATTACATAAATGTAACATTTACTTAAAAACCCTTTTTTTATCATTTAACAAAAATGTCAAGATAAAACACAAAACACTTGTACTAATTTTTCTCTCTACAGAATAAGGTCTAAATAATTAACAGACAAATAATTGAATATATTTGTTTGAATTGTCCTTAAATTGGTTAATTGGTCAATTGTCTGACATATAAGGAATGTGATAATGCAGAATATTGAAGATCTGAAGCAATGGACAATGGAAACAATTATAGGTACCTGGATATTATATATACCAGACCAATTGTAGATATTTACCCAAGTTTCACTAAAAATAATAATGAAAACTTTATTTTTTAATCGATTTGAAATTTCCTATATTATACATTCCGAAATCTTTTTATTAAAATTTAAAGATTTTTTATGAGACTTTAGAAATACACTGTAACATTTGAGATTTTTCATGTATTCAAATATTAGTGTCGAATCTGTTTCTCTAAATCAAAAAAAGATAAATATTTTTGGAGTTTATGTTCTTTAAAAAAAAAAAAATCAATTCTTTGACAGGAATATTTTTTCTTTCCTGTTCTACAATGATCATCTAGCAGTGATTTTCTATTACATCCGATTGATTTTTCATGAGGTGTACATAACATTCTTATCAAATTTCAACTCGGGGGTATTTTTATATCCACATTTTAATTTTTGAAACTAGATTTTACTTTCAGCATTATTAATATATTTTTTATGATAATAAAATTACTAAAAATAAAGTTAAAGCCAGAAGGAATACTGAAATTCTGAACAAATGAGTGAGAATACAGCTTACTCTAAGAAACCTCCTTTATATTATCCAATACTTCAGAAAAGTTCTATTCCAAGAATATTTTTCACTTGTGTTTAATTCTTCTGTTTGTAATGTTAAATTTTTTGTTGGTCACAGAATTATTTACTTTCCTCATATTTTTCTTTCTTGAATAATGAATTTAATTTGAACAATGTAGTAAAATAAAAAGGTAAATATTAACACACATATATACATTTGTATTAATATCAATAAATCATCTAATTTATCACAATGCAACAAAAATCATAAATATTTAAGGTTTCCTATAAGTAGAAGGAAATTTTTATAGGAGTGATAGCTGACCTCAAGTGCTACAAAACTATTCATATAAACACTCATCTTCAGCAGAAAAGTAGAAAATCCAAGTTTTGTGCTTTTTTAAGTTTGTCATGTTTTTTATTGAATAGGACTTGGTAACTACGGAATTTATTTAATTTAAGTAATTAACGATTGCTTCCCAGTAAACTAGACAAAATTTACTTCAAGTGAAAATAGAATTTGTCATTGTTGATATAGTTTAAAGAGGACTTTTGAACGGCTAAACTAAGCTAAATTCTGCTTTAAAAAAATCATAAATTATTTCTGATTTTTTTTATCACCATCCAACCATACTACAGATACCCCACTTTTAGACAAATTTCTTCATTTAATTAACTTTAAGTTCATATTAATGAAGTGGAGGTTTACTAGATAATAAATTGAGATTCACCTTAAGTTGAGTAAAAAACTCATGTGAATTTTTATCCTTTCACCTAAAAGTATCTGTGTTTTCAGCAAAAATGACTGCAATTAATTGTTGTAAAGATTAATAAATTTCTATCATCTTGGATGCATTTTAATAAACACAATTGTCCAAATACACTTTATTAAAAAATAAAAAATTTAAAAGTTATTATTTTTCAAATAGCTTTTTCCACCCAGGTCTCAGTCATAGGAATTTTCCCAAATTTATAAGTGAAAAACTAAATGTTTCTTGTCCTAAAATTTTGAGCCTGTTGATTACACCAATTATTTTTATGAAAACATAATTGTTAGACTGTAAACATTTTGTTTTTTACTTATAATTATGGTTCAATTCTTATATTAGAGATCGGGGTGAAAAACACAGCTTTATAACAACATTGTATTGAAAGGAGCTACTCGACTGTTCTACATATCATGGGTGATAAATATTCATGACGCAGTCTTTTTAAAAAACTGCATCCTGAATATTTATCACCCATTTATTATTTTAATAAAAGGTTTATTTATGCAATTATATATATTTATTATAATGCATCCTAGATCATGGAAAAACATGATGAGGTGAGTCTCAATTTTTATAACACTGAACTGGAAGTCGAGTTGACTGAATGTGTAGAGAGAAGAGTGAGGGATTGGTGGAAGAACATCTTGCCACAAGGCATCTCTCTCCCCTTTACCCACTGGCAAAGTCATCTTAGATAGACATAAACTATTCACAAAGTTGAAGTGGCTCCATCCTACTTTCTGTTGGCAATTCCTCTCTACATTTTAGAACTCCTTACTCTAAATTCCTCTTATCACACTCTAAATACAAGGTCTCAACCTTTTCAATTATACATACCCTCCCATAAAACCACTCCCTTCAGTGAATCCTTCATCATTCCTGCTGCCTCATTTTGAAATTACTTGCCTATCTCCATACATTAATCCTCATCCATCAATTCCTTTAAACAACTCCTGTTCCACCACCGGTTTGATACTCAAACCTCCGCAAATTTGTAAGAATTATTTGTGTTCCTATAAATGCAATTGTTACTAATAGGTAATTAACTAGTATTAATTTGTAGATTTTATGATAAACTAATATGCATAGTTTTGGAATCGTGTTATTATTATGTCATTATTCTTAGGGGACTTCAGTCTCAGAGTAAAATTATTTTTTTATTCATTGAAAAATGTTAAGCAAAAATAAAAAAATGAACAATTAGTATGATTATATTTATCTTCCTGTACTATTATACATTAATGACAATAACTGATCTCCATTAAACAAGAAAATCTTAAAACTATTTTTATGTTTAATAGACTTAATTGTTATATTTGATTTTTTAAAATATTCAACTATAAAACTTTTAGGTTGGAGGGTCAATAATGGATCACGATCCAAGTGCCTCAGCAATCCTTGAAATTGCAGGGAAATCTATCTACAGCAAAGATTTGAAACAATCTTTAGGTAATGGAATTTTTAAGCTAGTTAATTATTTGATTAATTTAAACTAAATGTCGTTGTCTTTTCACACCATGTACTTTTGCCTGTATAACATTTTACAACTGAAGAAACCGTAAATTTATCAAAATAGTCTTGTTCTTCTTGGATTCAGCTGTGAATTATTAATATTGTCCTTGATTATACTCAGTTATGTTTCAGCCAAAATCATTACACAGTTGAACTTTTATTTTGAACATTAAGATTATTTGAAAAAAAAAATGATGTATATAAATTTCGATATATATTAAAAAATTATAATTTTTCATCCTTGTAATAATGAAAACAATTAAATTTGTAATATAAAAAACAGTTATTTTTTAGGGTTAAGAAAGTATCAAAAGACAATTTTTTAGGTTTAAAAGAAAAAAAATGAATGATTAAAAACATTTATTTGAAAAATAAACACAATAATTTGATTGTTGATTTTTTACATATGCACACACATATTGCTACTTTTATACTATGAGCTAATGACAAATTTATTCAACCGACAAATGTAAAGGTACTGATAGTCTTTATCCAGTAGAACTGGGACCTTTGAGTCTTTTAAGGCTCTCCAGACGAGTGCATGTTCCAAAAAATGACAAGCTCAAATGCTTCAAGTTTTTGATTTCCATTCAACCGATTGGGAAACAGATGGGATTTTTTTTGAAAATACCTAGCATATTTAACTGTATTTTAAATGCAGTTGAATCGATTTAAACTTATTGGGAATTCTAAAAAATAGAATAATGTGAATGATTTTAGTGTTCATTTAAATGGTGGACAAAAACTGATTTCTAATTCAAGTTCGCTTCCAAAACTGCTGCACTCAAATGTGTCAAATGTTTGAATTCCATTCAGCCAACTGGTAAATGGTTCTGAAATATTCAGCTTGGCAAGGTGAGTAAAAATCAATCCCATAATACGACCCAGGTGGTGTATTTCCAAAACTAACAAAAAAAACAAACTTTTTTTTCACTCAAACTACAATTCAGTTCTTATCCACCATTTAATCAGATATTTAAATCTTTTATATAAATCTATTTTTATGTGTTTCCAATAAGTTTAAATCTATTCAACTGACTTTTAAATACAGTAAAATGTAATCAACCTAAATTAGTTTTTTAGTTTGGAATTATCGTGATGAAGGATCAATAGGTTCTCAACATTGAATATATGTTTCGAGTCAATGCATGTTTAACCATTGCTGTTTTTGAATTTTATTTTTGTTTTTATACTCAGCACAAACATTTTTATGTTGATGAAGCCTGTTATGGTTTTGGGTTGATATGCCAATGTAGGAATTAGGACAATGCAGACAATTGGTTTTGTAAATCAGGTTTTTACTTAGAGATTTTGTATGCTATCTTGATTTTATTTATATTATATTCAATGAATGTTGTTTTGAGCGATTCAGAAAGATGTTTTATATAAGTTATAGGCTTGTATCTCAGAAAAAGTGGACTAACATTTGTTTTATGATTAAATATTCTTGGCTTATTAATTTTGTCCAACATTTTGTACCACATGGAAGTAACTAACGAGTCAGGGTATATATTTTTTTGGAGAATTTTAAAAGTTTGTTCCTTCCCATCATTCAAATAATCCATATTGGTTAGTTTTATGCCTTTACACATGAAATTACTGATAACGTTTAATATTTTATTAAAAGGGTCCAGGTTTTATTGGTTAGTTGGTAGAGTAAAGTTTTTAAACGTTAGAAGAGTGGAATGGATGGCTCACATACTAAGCGTGGAGGATTGCAGAACTCCACTAACAAGAAAGTTTGACATAGGATACAATAGGTCCAAGATGTCAAAAAGAACTTGGTAGAAGTTGCTATAAGAAATAGGAGGACCAGGGTGTTGTGCATTTAGGACTGGTGCAATATTACCAGAGAAGTCAAGGCCCATTTTGGGCTGTAAAGCTGGTCATTAATTAAGGTCTAATAGTAGTCTCCACGCTTAACAGCACAATGAAGATAGAGGAAAAAAACACAAAGTTAAATTTCTCAAAATAAACACCAAGGTTGGGATTAACCCAACCCATCCCCAAATTGTTTACTTTTTTATTTAATGATTCAACTTGAGTAATAAAAGTTATTTTTATTTATTTATTTTTTATAAATAGGGATATATGCAATTAAATTTAATTAAATGTATTTGAAAACAAATATAAGTTTCCAAGATGAATATATTTTTAGGGCCATTGTAAATAAAGCTGTAATCCAGCTTTAGGAAACTAGGAAAATGCATAACAAGAGTAAACTAATTTTGACTTATGTTAAAGTTATCTTATTTCTTCATGCATCCAAAATATGTATGTTCCATTTCAGGTATTTCGTCTTTGAAAAAATGGCTTTTGGGGCTTATTATAATATTATATTCTTTACGTTACACCATTTCAGAATTTTGATAGTATTGGTTTTCTTTTCAGTTTCCCAACATTAAGGAAAATAAATTGTGAAAATCAGCATCTCTACTATTGTTGCCAATATCTCTTTAGATTGAAATTTATTAGGACTCTAATATGAAAATTTTAGAAAAGTTAGTTCTGTCATGATAAAAAATATTATTAGATTAACATCAAGATGTGGTTCATATCTCATCTGCACTTGCAATAGATTAAATCCTTTATTCAAACAATCCTCTAAGGAGGCTGTAGGTCTGGCTGCTTTTCAATGACTTTGGGAAAGTGTGAGTAACAGGAGTTAATAGAATGAAGAGACAAAATGTTAGCAAATTTCTTTTGGGTTGCATTTGACGTACGTCTTGTTCGAGAATTAAGAATACAGTTCTTTTTCTTTATTTGTTTTCTTGATGTTACATATAGATAGATTGATAGATTTTTATTGAAGTTAAAATTAGTTATATGTGCTTAGTGAATAAATTGATCAGTTTATGTTTATGACAGATGATGCCAGGGTGAAAGATTAAGAATATAAATTTTGAATCCAATTCTTACCGAAGAGTCAATTATAAGCCTATGCATTATGAGTAAATTTTTGCAGCATTGCTGAACATAATGCTTGGTTAATAATAAACAATAATTGTACTACAATAAGTATTTATTTAAGTACAATTTCTTAAGTATTTATTTTCATTTTAACATAAATTATAATTCATGTCTAGACATAAGACATGTCTAGAACCATTGCTTATTATACTTTTCCAGTCAATAATGGTTTGTCAATTTATGATACTTTTATTTAGTACTATATTTATTGAATTCTATTTTCAGATGAAGCATAAACCTGCTAAAGCAACCAAGACTGACTCAGAGTTACCTATTAGTTCAATTATATATATTTCTAATTGTGATATAACATAGTTTATACAGTATTGTGTTCTGTTAAAATATTAATGTGTATTATTACTTAAACATATTTATATTGAAGTATATTTTAATATATTTCTACTCATAATTTGGCTGTTATTGAAATAAAATATATTTAAAAAAATTCGTCTCCATTCTATGTTATAAATACTTATTTGTTCTTTATAATAATTATTTGTATAAAAGAGTATAGAAAGAAAGAAATAAGAAGATAAGTTTGTAACTTACATACAACAAGAAGAAGTGATAAAACTTACACCATTGTGTCTAAAGATTCATAAACTCAGTTTTGCTGATTTATAAGAGTTTTTCTGTGTTTTAATTTTTATGATTTTGACGTATTATCAGTTAAGAATTTTTTATTAAATTAGTTTTAATTTTATGTATTTTTTTACTTTTACTTACCTCTATATAAAATATAAAGTAAGGAAAAGAATTTTTAGTGAAAACACACGTTTTGAGGTCCTCTGAATCTAAAGAACCAACTCTCGCTAAATGGTCTCTGTGTGTGTTAACAGTTTAGCTCAAAAACATAAATTCTTATGAAACTGATATTGCTTATTCAAGGTTTGTATATGCCTGGAATGTATATGCAACTTTTTCGTTAAAATCTGTATACCGGAAGTGGCTCTTTATATCATCAATTTACCACATTTTTATGATTTTCGCAGAAATCGATATTACGATTTTGATTAAATTTGTTATGATAATGTACAATTAAGTGTTTTTTAATAAAAGGTAGATTATATCCTCATTGATGTTCCGAAGAAACCCGAGCGCCCCCTTAAGCTTGGTAAACAAGGGGGTTCCGATTATATTATTTACTTATACATGTACGGTTTTCATAAATACTAATGCTGGTATTATTTAATATTTAATTGTATAGATTACAGAAATATAAAAACTTTTTTTTTTTTTAAACTTTTATTATGATATTTACAACTGTATTAGTATGAATACATCAAGTAAATTTGTACAGAGAAATATTATTACATGAAACACGCTTGTTGAGAAACTACCCACTGGTAGCACTCTAATTAATATAAAAACTAAAATTTATATATATAACATTGCTTACACAATAAAAATACCCACAATGAAATCTAAATAAATATCGGACCTCCTTATTGACTCTCTTGTCGGACTAATAAAACATTTGTGGCACTTAATTATTCATTATAATTAAATAAATAATTAAAATATACAGTTATAAAATGAAATAATTAGTGACAAAAAATTCATTATAATAGATGAATGAGAGACGATGAAAGAGAGAGGTACAATAATATTGCATGGCTGCTCAATTGTATTGAGTTGCTAAATCACACAGCATACTCAATCAATCAACAAATAATATTAAAAAAAAAAATAGAGTGTTAGGTGGGAATACTGCAACAGCTAATATGCCAATAACAGTATACAGTATCAAATAAGCGAAAGCCAAGATCAATCAATGTATGTGGTGATGGAGGATTCCCAACAAGTCTAAAATAATAGTTTTTGCTATGGTCTGCTTCTGCTCCCTTCCAACACCGAGCCTCAGCAAGAAATTACTTGTAGTAAGCAGGATGGTTCTCCTGCTTTCGGACCACAGCCTTAGTGGATTTCTTATAGATATCCTCCTTATCTGCCTGAAGTCTTGATCCTGATCGTTCGTTTCAAATCTGATAATGTCACAGGATCCACTATTAGTATCTCCTTTACCATTGCATTGAATGCTAGAATGTCGACAAATCTAGTTGAACCTGTACCCAGGCAATAAACTTCAAGGAAACATTTATATTACTTTATTTCAAGAAATTCGGTTATTCAATGTTTTATATTATTAACCCGGCAGATGGCTAATAACATGTTATTCGGACAATTGCCCAACACATGAGCTGGGGTTTCTGACTTTCTTCCACATTTGCGGCAGAGGGGTCCAACATCTGCGTTAGCCTGACTTCTGCTCCTTGGTACTCTGTGAAGAGGAGCGTAATTAACATTAAATTTCATGGTGTTTGTCCATTCTGAGCTGGTTAGCACCTTTTGTAAATAATTTTATTGGCTCTTGGGTTTGCTTTAAAATAGGACAAAATTCTCTGCCACTTGCACTTGCTTCAGTCTTCTAAGGACTTTTCCCTCAGGGATTTCCTTACTTTTCTAGCTGTCATTAATGGTTCCATATTACTCGCTTTAATCGACCAGATCCTTGAAATTGAAAATAGCTTGAAACAGAGCATTTCTCACATTGCCCTATTTTCGGGAAACAGACCAGTGTTAAACAGGAGCCTCCCATTGAAACTGAAAAAAACCCAAGCCCCTGTATCACCGTGATGCATATATCATCGCTGAGCAAGTGCTGACTGGTAAACCTAACATTGCCTTAACACTTCTTTGTAATATGTCACGAAGCATCTTTCGAATGTAATTTATTGTCCTCTCCCCAGCTTCAACACTGCAAGCTTTAACCGCTTGATCATCAGTGAAGCCTGCAAGCAGAATGGGATCATGTTCATGGAACAATTTGTAACCATATTCCTCCGCAACTTTTGGGTCGCACAGTTCCGTATATAGGGAATCTATACTCACATTGAAGAACACCGGGAAAAATAGTCCACCCTGTGGTATTCCTCTCAAGACATGGACACTGCTAGTGTTGTTGACCCCATGACTGATTCTTATGGTGTTATGACACAATTGGCTTTCTGTTTTTTCTTTGCTTTCTTTAGAACAGCCTCAATGATTCTCGAGTTTACGCGGCTCCTCAGTTGTTCAATTATGAAACCCCTTCTGGTTGGGTGAAAAGAATTTGCATCCAATTCGTTTTGTCGTGTCGTTCGTCCAATGGTGTGTGATCAAAAACCTTTTCAATAATACGCTTTAATATGGGATAAATTGTTATGGGTCCCCGGAAGACAAACCACCACTAGAATCCTTTTCCTTATAAATTAAAATTGTTCATATGCTATAGAGAATTTCAAGGATATATCTTTTTCTTCTACGCATGTGAAAGAACTGAATAGCTGCATGTTTTGGGCCAGGAAGTGTTAGCCTCTCTCAGGAAAATAAGAAAATCGCCCATAATTGTATCAATTGTTCGAATCCAGGGGACCCTCGAGATGTTTAAATTTGGTTTCCCACTTCTTTACTTCAAGCTCTCTGTTGGATGTTTATCGTTTTCATTTCTTTTTTTCTTTTCAATCGACACAAGTTTGATAGTGTTTTGCTTCTACCTTTGATATGTGGTTTGTCTCTTTGAAGGTGTTGAAGATGTCTCTTTGATATGTGGATTGTAAGCCCACAGTTATTTTTAAATGATGACTGGCAGATCGAGCATGTTTGAGAATGGCGATCTTTCGATATTTCTTAATGATCAGGGTTTAAATCTTTGTCATGTGGAATTCTCGAGTCTTGAGAATCTATTCAATTCATTCCCCTCATGGTTGGTAGTCTCTGACGGGTCTTGAAGAAAAACCTCATCTTTAGAAACAGTTTTTCCCAAAAAATAAAGATAAAACTTATCAGAAATTGTTCCTTACCCTCCCCTTAATAACCAGTAAAAAGTTCCAAAGAATGCCTGTATCTTACTCCCATTCAACTGACTCAACCTGAAGACTGTCATATCGTCCCTTCTCTATAGATATAACTACTGAATCTTGAAAAATAGAACCTCTTGTTCGGACCCAAACTCGCTGGCTAATTTTGAGAACTTTCTCTGGTCCGGATAGATTCTCATCTGGCTATAGTGGATTTTAATTAAAATGAATGCTGATAGCTGAAAATTCTACGTTCGTGTATGTTCACTATTCGAAGAGGTCTTGGAAGCCAACAAATATTGTTATTTTATAAATATAAAACGTTAACATAATAATGATCTCAGTAATTCATCTAACGTAACATCAACAATTTATTAAATTAATCCTTTCCAAACAAGTATCAATATCATATAAATACAAAAGAGAAATTGTCAAAAATACATTCATACAAGCTAAAATATTAAATAGTTTAAAAGTATATAACTTGTTAAATAAGTTTAAAAAATATAAATACATATAATGAAATATAAAATATTTACACATAAATTATTGATATGGTTTTAAATATATAAATAGTTTTAAAACAATGTCATTATATAGATAGGCAAATACAAAACTGCTCAGCCCCTTTTTCTCCTCTATTATTCAACCAATTTTCTTCCTTCTTTTTTTGTTTAATAGCTATTGATGAGCTTTAGTGTTATAAAAAAATAAAAATATGAAATAGTGTATGTAAATAATAATATAAATGGTAGTTTGTTCAAAACAGCTAATCTCTGAAAGTTCTTCACCGATTTCTTTGAAATTTTGAATCAACATCACAATAAGATTTAGGAGTGTTTTTGTATACGTTTCATTATCATCAGGCCTTCTCGTTTGAAATGGTGGTCGAAAAACATGATTCGCTTCAGAATGTAGCAGAAAAACATGATTCGCTTCAGAATGTAGCCGAAAAACATGATTCACTTCAGAATGTAGCACCAATACGGTTGCAACGATTTTAATGAAACTTGGCTAAAGTCTTCCCCTTGAATTATATGTATATACTCATGTATGTGTATATGTATACATATACACATACATGAGTATATTACCTATTTGGTATCATAACTTAAATAGGTAACACAAATAAACTAGATAAACTTATTTATTTTAACAATATAAATATAACTTCACATGAAATATTGATTACATTTACATGTTTTAGAGCTTGGCCTTACAAAAGTAAAGTTATATTACATAATATTAACATTGTTTTGTTATATGATTAATGTTATAAATAGTACAAACATTCAGTACACCTAACTCTGTATAACCTAGTGTAACTTCCTAAATTATTACCTATTTATATCACATGGTGATATATTATCACTGACGCAGTTATTAATTAGAACGGAGGTAGCAGTGCTGCTACAAGTAGATACATATATACCTTATAAATATAGATATCGTGTACTATGATAAATATTAATTTTGTGGTTTAAAGCAGTTTTTGCTTAAAGTGGAAATACAATAAATATAATCTTAAAAATATCTTCGCAACAATTGATTTTATAAAAAAAAAAAAAAAAAAATGTATAGGATCATCACATGGCCCAGCACTCTATGCAATAACTACCACCACTATACTCGGTGCAACCAGCAGCAACCAAAACAGCAATTGTTTGAAGGATCTTGAACAGCAGCCAAGGGGTCCAAAAGCAAGGGTGATCCAAATCTAAAGCACTCCAATGGTTATTTCAATGCAAGGACCTACAGCGAACAGCCATGGATCACCTACTCTTAGTATGACCATAAAGTAATCTGGAACACTACGAGCACAGGGTAATAACCGAAACTTCTCAAGATTCCTTGTGTCAGATTACGTTCATTCCATTCTTTCATGCACTCTCTTATTTCCCCTCAATCGTGATGGTGGACATACATTAGGATTGTATATATATATTTTTTTTTGCATTCATTAGTAATTTATTTCTTTTATATTTTATGTGTTATTGTTATAAATATGAGTGCCAAAATCTTAATTTTTTTCTTAACCAATCGCAACGCGATTATTTTCTTTTCATATTTAGAGGACCAGTATAATTAATTCCTTTAATTAATATTTAAGTTTTCGATTGCTTATTTTAATTTCATCAAACACAGATATATATTTTTTGTGTAGCACATAACAGCACTATGCATGTTTTTTTGTTATTGTAAAATAGCGTAGCTTAATTTAGGTGGGCGGCTTGTTAAGGGAACACAGCCATGTCCCCACTTTATTTAAATTTGAATCCATCGGGGAAGCAAGCAGCATTGCTGCCATCTCTTGGCAGGCAAGAGA